TGATAGCAAGGAGGGTAAACTGCTTATCCAAGAGCAAAATGATATCTGTATAATAAGGGATTATTCATTGGAAGGACTGATGCTGAAGCTGAAGCTCCAGTACTTTGGCCACCTAATGCCAAGAGCCAACTCATTAGAAAAGACCCTGATGCTGGGAAAGATTGAATGTAGCAGGAGAAGGGGATGATAGAGGACGAGATGGTTGGATGCTATCACCAACTCAATGGACCTGAGTTTGAACAAGCTCCAGGAGATGGTGAAGGACAGGGAGGCCTGGAGTGCTGCAGTTCATGGGATCACATAGAGTCAGACACGACTGAGCAACTGAACAACAACAATAATAAGGGAGACAAGTAAGAATTATTAGAAGGAATAAGCATGTTATTTTATTTTGCTTGTCTCACAACAATGGTCATGTTATCCCCATTCTGATAAGGACACTGACCTGAATAATTAAGGAATTTTCCCAAATAATCAGCAAATGATGGAGGCTGGTGAGTCACATCTGGGCAGTCTGACCTCAGAGCTGGCCTCTGTGACCCCTGTCCTTCTGTCCCCAGTCTTGCTCATTTGACTGTGAGCGCTCCTGAGGAAGGGTAAGAGGAGGCCGTGTTATCCACCTGTACGCTGTAGCTTACCTGAGGCACTCCTCAGTACCTGGCATTTTCCTAGCATCTGTGCCCTAAATAACATGTTCACAGGTGAGAAGTCTCCTTGTGTCTCTCTGGCACTTCCTTCTCCCTCAGCTTGGTCAGCCTCTGCAACCACAAAAGCTGCATCCAGAGGCACCCTTAAGTTCCCTGTGTACATGGTCAAGGGGCTGGTTATCAGGGCCAGGAACCACCAGTCTCCATTTACCCCCTCATAGTCTATGTGCAATGCTCCTTCCACTTTTTTTTTTAAGACTTTATTTTTTGAGAGCGGTTTTGAGCTTACAATAAAATTAAGATAAATGTACAGAAAGTCTCATGTCTACTCGAAGAAGGTAATCTTTGCCCCCCCCCCTTTCCTTAGCTATAAAATTGTAGTCTACTTAGTCCTTGGAGCAGAGCTCCCTTGGTTGCATGCTTGCATCTCCTACAAGAATACTATATTAATAAATCTACATCTTGCCAAAAAAATAAATGTACAGAGATTTGCATATACTCCTTGTCCCCCAAATATGTGTAGCCCTCCCCTTTTATCAACATCACTCACCAGAATGGAAAAAAAAAAATTTTTTTTAACCAAATATGAACCTACATTGACACATTATAGTCACCCAGAATCCATAATTTAGCTAAGGGGGTTCACTCTTGGTGTTTGTTATACAGTAGGTTTGGACAAATGACTAACAACTATATATCTATGGTTATAATACCATACAGAGTGTTTTCACTGTCCTAAAAATCCTCTGTGCTCCACATATTCATCTCTCCCCCTCAACTGCCACCCCCAATGACTATTGATCATTTTTACTGTCTCCATAGTTTTTCCCTTTCCAGAATGTCAAATAATTTAAATCATATAATATGGAGTATTCTCAGTTTGGCTTCTTTCATGCAGTAATATGAGTTTCAGATTCCTTACAGGGCTTGATAGCTCATTTCTTTCTAGGTCTGAGTTATATTCTGTGATTGGATATACCACAATCTATTCATCTACTGAAGGACATCTTGTTTGCTTCCAAGTTTGGGCCATAATGAATGGAACTGTTAAAAACTTCCACGCACAGGGTTTTGTGTGAGTAAAAGTTTTCAATTCCTTTCAGAGTATAATTACCATGGAGTTCAATTGCTGGATCATATGGTAAGAATATGCTTAGCTTGTTATAGAATTATCAAGGTATCTTCTAAAACGGCTATACCGTTTTGCATTTCCACCAACAATGTCTGAGAGTTCCTGTTCCTCCACATCCTCACCAGCATTTGATGTTGTCAGTGTTCCAGATTTTGACTGTTGTAACAGATGTGTAATGAAAAATGGTGTGTTTTAATTTACACTTCCCTAATGATTCATTGGAAAAGACCCTGATGCTGGGAGGGATTGGGGGCAGGAGGAGAAGGGGACAACAAAGGATGAGATGGCTGGATGGCATCACCAACTCGATGGGCATGAGTTTGAGTAAACTCCAGGAGTTGGTGATGGACAGAGAGGCCTGGCGTGCTGCGATTCATGGGGTCACAAAGAGTCGGACACGACTGAGTGACTGAACTGAACTGAAACTGAATAACATTTGAGGTGGAGTATCTTTTTATATGCTTGTTTGCCATCTATATATCTTCTTTGGCATGTTGATGGTTGATGTCTGTTAATGTCCTATCCTTTAATTGGTTATTGACTTTCTGTGGTGTCTGAAGAGTTCTTTTCATGTTTTGGGTAACAGTCTTTATTAAATGTGTCTTTTGCAAATATTTTCTTCCCATCTGTGACTTGTCTGCTGATTCCCCTGATATTGTCTTTCCCAAAGCAGAAGTTTTTATTTTTAATTGAAGTATAGTTGATTTACAATGTTTCAAGTGTATGGCAAAGTGATTCAGTTTTTATATATATAGACACACATATATATGTTCTTTTTCAGATTCTTTTCCTTTATAGGTTATTACAAGATACTGAATACAGTCCTCTGTGCTACACAATAGATTCTAAATTCTCAATTTATCCCTCCTCCCTCACCTCCCCCCTTGGTAACCATGTTTGTTTTCTATGTCAGACTAGAAACAGACAAAAAGAATGTGAGTCTGTTTCTGTTTTGTAAGTTAGTTCATTTGCATCTTTTTTTAGATTCCAGATGTAAGTGATAATATGACTTTTGTCACTGTCTGACTTACTTTACTTAGATTGATAGTTTTTAGGTCCATCTATGTTGCTGCAAATGTCATTATTTCATTCTTTTTTATGAGTAATATTCCTCTGTGTGTGTGTGTGTGTGTGTGTGTGTGTGTGTGTGTATCACACCTTTATCCATTCATCTGTGATGGACATTTAGGTTGATTCCATGTCTGGCTATTGTAAATAATGCTAACATTGAGGTGCATCTTTTCAAATTAGAATGTTTGTCTTTTCCAGGTATATCCCCAGAAGTAGGATTGCTGGATCGTACGGTAGCTCTATTTTTAGTTTCGTAACAAACCTCCTTACTCTTCTCCATAGTGGCTGCACCAGTTTACATTTCTACCATCAGTATAGAGGGTTTCCTTTTCTCCACACCCTTTCCAGCATTTATTATTTATTGACTTTTTGACAATGGCCTAACTGGTGTGAGGTGATACCTCATTGTGGTTTTAATTTGCATTTGTCTAATAATTAGTGATGTTGAGCATCTTTTCATGTGCCTCCTGGCCACCTAGTATGTCTTCTTTGAAGAAATGTTTATTTAGGTCTTCTACCCATGTTTTGGATTAGATTGGGGTTTTGGGGTTTTGTTGTTTTCTTTTCTTTTTTTTTTTTTTTGATGTTGAGCTGGTTTTGGTTTTGGTTTTTGGTTTTTATACTGAGCTACTTACATATTCTGGAAATTAATCCCTTGTCAGTAGCATCATTTGCAAATATTTTTCTCCCATTCTGTGGGTTGTCTTTTTGTTTTGTTTATGGTTTACTTTGCTGTGCAAAAGCATTTAAGTTTAATTAGGTCCCATTTGTTTATTGTTGCTTTTGTTTCCATTACTCTAGGAAAAGGATCTGAAGAAATATTTCTGCAGTTTATGTCAAAGAGTGTTCTTCCTATGTTTTCCTTTAGGCATTTATAGTAGCAAGTCTTCCATTTAATCCATGTTGAGTTTACTTTTTATATGGCATTAAAGAATGTTTAATTCCATTCTTTTATGTGTAGCTATCCAGTTTTTCCCCAACAACACTTATTGAAGAGACTGTCTTTTCTCCATTTTATATTCTTGCCTCCTTTATCATAGGTTAATTGCACAAAAGTGCATGGGTTGTTTCTGGGCTTTCTATCCCGTCCCATTGATCTATGTTTTTGTGACCTATTTTTTGCCAGTACTATACTGTTCTGACTACTATAGCCTTAGAGTATCATCTGAAGTCAAGAATCATGTTTCCTCCAGTTCAGTTCTTTTTTCTCAAGATTTTTTTGGCTATTTGGGGTCTTTTGTATTTCCATACAAATTTTAAAATGTTTTATTCCAGTTCGTGAAAAAATACTATTGGTAATTTGATAGGGATTGCACTGAATCTGTATGTTGTCTTGAGTAGTATGGTCATTTTAACAATACTAATTCAGCTCCCTTCTGACGTGACACGCGACATGGAGGATGAGCAGAACCTCCAACCTGGCGGCGAGGCCGTGGCTCCCGCGCGTCGCGCGTCTCCCGGGTCGGAGTGCGGGGACGAAGCCCAGCGTCCGAATCCCGAGCCAATTCTCCACATAGCAGCTGGAATAATCTTTAGTAACATGAATCTGACTGGGTTTCTCCCCTCCTAAATCTTCAGTTTGCCGGCCCCAGGACTTGGCTGCTTCCTCCATTCTTAGCTGTAGCTCTTCCCACGTGCTCTCAGTGGCCACCATCCTTGGTGTTATGTGGATTGTCTTGAATAACTTTCTTTGGAAGTTTGTGTAGACTGAAATTTGTGAGAACTGCACCTTGACCGTGTCCTGAGCTTCACTGAAGGAGGAGGACTAGAGTTGGACCCAGGGGATGAGACAACTTTCTTTATTGAAATCATGATTTATAACATATTTAGAAGAGGCCTCGTACTTGTGGGTAATTTTTGTAACTACAGTTCTAGATGAAAATAAAGCGTGTGAGTAGGAGAGAGGACTAAGCCGAAGAGAAGACTCGCTTGAATTGACTGAGACATCTGTTTTGGTAGGCAAACTGTTGTTCAGTGTAGAACCTAAATTTTAACCTGATTGAAGATGGAGCTTAAAATTCACTAAAAAGCAACGGTGTAGACTCGATGGCCAAGAAACAAAAGCATCTAAGTTGATTACCTCCAGTGCAAGTGATTTCAGTGACCCAGTTTACAAAGAGATTGCTATTACGAATGGTTGCATTAACCGAATGAGTAAGGAAGAGCTCAGAGCCAAACTTTCAGAATTCAAGCTTGAAACCAGAGGTGTAAAGGATGTATTAAAGAAGAGACTGAAAAACTATTACAAGAAGCAGAAGCTGATGTTGAAAGAGAGCAATTGTGCTGACAGTTACTACGATTACATTTGTATTATTGACTTTGAAGCCACTTGTGAAGAGGGAAACCCACCTGAGTTCATACATGAAATAATTGAATTCCCTGTTGTTTTGCTGAATACTCATACCTTAGAAATAGAAGATACATTTCAGCAGTATGTGAGACCAGAGATTAACACCCAACTTTCTGACTTCTGCATCAATCTAACTGGAATTACTCAGGAGCAAGTAGACAGAGCTGATACCTTCCCTCAGGTACTGAAAAAAGTCATTGACTGGATGAAATTGAAGGAATTAGGGACAAAGTATAAATATTCCATATTAACAGATGGTTCATGGGATATGAGTAAGTTCTTGAACCTTCAGTGCCAGCTAAGCAGACTCAAATATCCACCTTTTGCTAAAAAGTGGATCAATATTCGAAAGTCATATGGAAACTTTTACAAGGTTCCTCGAAGCCAAACTAAGCTGACAATAATGCTTGAAAAACTCGGAATGGATTACGACGGGCGGCCTCACAGTGGTCTTGATGACTCTAAGAACATTGCCCGAATAGCAGTCCGAATGCTGCAGGATGGGTGTGAACTCCGGGTTAACGAGAAGATGCATGCGGGGCAGCTAATGAGTGTGTCCTCTTCACTGCCGATAGAGGGCACTCCAGCGCCACAAATGCCGCATTCCAGAAAATAACAGCATTTTTGCCCTTTTGCCTGTGGATCATTCACTCTAGCTGGAGCTGCTCCAAAGAGGTAGCAGATGAATACCTATTGAATTAGTCCTGCAGTGCAAAATTTAAGCACCTTAAACATTTAAAATCTTATTACAGTAATAGGTATATGCATACATATGTGAACAGATTCCGTGGGAGGGCATACTGAATTCTTTGTCACCAGCACTTTTGATATGAGCAGTATTTGTTACACAGTAACAGTTCCTGCTTAGAATTGAATTTTATAATTTAAGGTGTCCAAGATGTGTTCCTTTGGGTTTAAAATGCAAAGGTTTATTGGCTCTCCCCTTGAATGTTGTATCTTACTGATGTTAAAATATGTGATGTATTTCTACATCAACATCATTAGATCAGATTTCTTCAAATGCAGAAAAGATCAGAAAGGTGGGCCTTTATCTACTAGCCTTTGGGTTTTAAGAATATCAGAGTCCCTTTGATTTTTGAAGCTTATTTGTGAACATGAGCTGTGAGTGGTAAATTTCATAAAATACTTAGTACACACACACACAAAAAAAAACAATACTAATTCTTCCAATCTAAGAACATGATGTATCTTTCCACTCATGTTGTCTTAAATTTCTTTCATATTACAGTTTTCAGAGTACAGGTCTTTTGTCTCCTTAGGTTAGTTTATTACTAGTTATTTTATTCTTTTTGATGTGACACTAAATGGGATTGTTTCCTTGATTTCTCTGTTTGTTGTTTGTTTATAGAAATGCAACAGATTTTTGTGTGTTAATTTTCTAACCTGAAGCTTTACCAAGTTCATTGATGATCTCTTGTAGTTTTCTAGTGGCATCTTTAGGATTTTCTATATTGTCATATCATCTCATCTGCAAATGGTGAACAGTTTTACTTCTTCCTTCCAATTTGGATTCCTTTTGTTTCCTTTTCTTCTCTGATTGCTATAACTAGGACTTCCAAAACTATGTTAAATAAGAGTGACAAGAATGGACATCCTTGTCTTATTCCTGATCTTAGAGGGAATGTTTTCAGCTGTTTACCACTATGATATTAGCTATGAGTTTGTAATAGATGGGCTTTTTTATGCTGAGGTATGTTCATTCTATGCCCACTTTCTGGAGAGTTTTTGTCATAAATGGATATTGAATTTTATCAAAAGATTTTTCTCCATCTATAGAGATGATCATACTGTTTTGTTTTTTAATTTATTTATTTGACTGTGCCAGATCTTAGTTGCAGCACACAGGATCTTTAGTTGTGGTATCCAAACTCTTAGTTGCAGCATGTGGGATCTAGTTGCCAGGCCAGGGACTAAACCCAGGCCCCTGCGCTGGGAGCGAGGAGTCTTAGCCACTGGACCACTAGAGAAGTCCTGAAAACGTTTTTATTGGTGGCTCAGACGGTAAAGCGTCTGCCTACAATGTGGGAGACCTGGGTTCAATCCCTGGGTTGGGAAGATCTCCTGGAGAAGGAAATGGCAACCCACTCCAGTATTCTTGCCTGGAAAATCCCATGGATGGAGGAACCTGCTAGGCTACAGTCCATGGGGTTGCGAAGAGTCTGACACGACTCAGCGACTTTACTTTCACTTTTCATTAATGAAGTATAGGTTATCACTTTTTCCTTTCATGGATTGTGCCTTTGCTGTTATATCTAAAAAGGCATTACAGGGACTTCCCTTGCAATCCAGTGGTTAAGACGTTGCACTTCCAATTGAGGGTGTACAGGTTTGATATCTCTTTTGATTAGTATTATCATGGTATATTTTTCTCTATCCATTTTAAAGTGGATTTCCTGTAGATGACATAGTTAGGTCTCAGTTTTTGATTCACCCTGACAATCTCTGTGTTTTAATTAGTACATGTAGATCACTGACATTCAAAGTGATTACTGACATAGCTGGGTTAATATCCACCATATTAATTATCCTCTGTTTATTGTCCTTGTTCTTTGTTCCTAATTGTTCCTCTTTTCCTGCCTTTTATGCTTTTGAGTATTTTATATGATTTTATTTTCTCTCCTTTCTTAGCATGTCAGTTATACATATTTTTAACTTCTGTAGTGGTTGCCATAGTTTGCAATATACACTTACAACTAATCCATTCCCACTTTCAAATAACACTGTGCCACCACATGGATAGTGTGAGTACTTCATAATAACAAAATAATTCCTTCCTCTGTCCCTTTTACCTGTCACAGATAAGTTTATATAATCTAATACATTGTTGCTATTATTATCTTGAACAAACTGTTATCTGTTAGATCATTTAAGAATCATAAAATAAAAGTTTTATCTTCACTTATTTCTTCTTTGACACTCTTTCCCCAATCAGTTCAAGGGGGCCATATACAAAGACGACACAGATTTCAAGTTTTCTTAGATGACTTTAATTGGAGATGCAAGAGTCTAAAGCCTCACTCTGTGGGACAGCATCTGGTCCCCATGCGGTTAGGGGAGAAATGCATGATTGAGGCTGAAATAGGGAGCCCCAGTCTCCCTGTCTTCCATTTTGGAGCTTATGCAAATTTTGGCTGCTGAATGAGACTTAAGATAATTATGTTAGGATACCAAACTATAGCTTCCTTTCTTCTTCTGATGTAGAATCTTCCTCCTATGAGGGAAACTCTTCTACAAACTCTTTGGGATCAAAATTCAGTTCTGTAACTGCACTTAATATCTACAAATAGGAAGTTTCTTGATGCAGTTACCTAGCTGCCAAAAAAAAAAAAATCAAGCCTGGAGGAGTGTACTCCCTCTCCAGCCTACTCACTACATCAGCCCTTACCCTCTCGAAGACCCTGTTACATCCTTGTAACCCTCAGAAAAACCAAACACCTGCCCTTGATCTCCATGGCCTGATTTCTTTGAAGCCCCAGTACGGGGGTGATTACAGTTTGCAGTGCCGTGTACACAGCCATTATGGTAATCTGGGATTTCTATCAGCCCGTTCTTCCTAAGAACAATTGAAAGCATCTTCACAGTAAAAATAGCATCAGGTTTGCCTTCTTACCAACCCCCAGAAGAGGCAGCGGAGCAAACCCCTTCCCTTTGCATTGAAAGGAAGCATGCGGCCTGGATAGGTCAAGGACTTCTTCATGGTTCCATCCCCCTTCAAGGCAAAGAGCTATGGAGGGTCCGCACCTTCTATTTCCAAAGTGCTGGAGGACAAAGATTTGACTGTTTTTCTAACTTGTATAGTTTCCTTCTTTCCCATAGGAACGTTTCTGGATTGGGGAATTCTTTCCAGTCTCCTCTAATCCCATACCCTCCAGCGCAGAGCAAATAGCATCTCAGTCCTACAAGACCTCTCACTCCCCTCATACGCCTTTCTGGCTTGAAGCTCTAATGGGTGGAGGACACAATATAGGCTGTTGCAATGTACTTCTTGCCATTTCCATAGGTTGACTTGTTCCAGGTATAGGTCTGAATGGCCAAGGGATGTCCACCCAGGCTCAGCTGGCACCTGTGGGGAGAGATCACCAAATATTAGGGACCTGCTTCACTCCACCTCCATCTCCAGGCTGGAAGGACTGAGTTTAGCCCATGGAGAAGGGCTCCACCCTGTCTTATCCTTTAAGGGAGAGCTGCCACAGCTTGCTTCAGCCACTGCCTCCAGCTCCCCACATGCAGAGCACCCTTTCAAAATCTGTCTTATTTTCTATTTTCTTAAAGAATACTGCTTCTTATCTTTCCTAGAGGAATATTCTCAAATCCAGTTCTAGAGCTGAAACCTCCAGAAATGAAATGTTTGCTTAGGGTTTCAGAAGTGGTTGGACCCAGAGTCCTCAAATGTTAGAGAAGATGAGACCCCTGGTTTCCAGCTGTGCTTTCTGGGGCTCCACGGTTCCCCCAGGCAGCCTCAGGGGCCAAATAGGGAGGCTTGCATGCATGTTCAGTCACTTCGCCATGTCCAGCTCTTAGCAATCCTATGGACTGTAGCCAACCAGGTTCCTCTGTCCATGGGATTCTCCAGGCAACAATACTGAAATGGGCTGTCATTTGCTCCTCCAGGGAATCTTCCTGACCCAGAAATCGAACCCACGTCTCCTGCATTGGCAGGTGGGTTCTTTACCACCAGTACTACCTGCGACATCTAGAGAGGCTTGCAGTCCCAGGGCAGTTCCATGTCTAACTGTTTGATACATTAAGCTCCTGCATAAGATTGCACTTGGGGAAGGAGAGGACATAGATCTGTTGCTGGGATGAAGGTGGGCAGCCATGTGACTGATCTCATCAACAGCTTCACAATCCAAGAGAGAAAACTGAGCCCCAGAGCAGTGATTTGCCCACACCCTCCTGGGCCTCCAAGACTTACACTTTGCCTGGCCTGGCGATGAAGCACAGGGAGTAGAGTGCAAACTCGAACTCAGGGCTGCTGCCAATGAAAGCCGAGCCCACTTCCTTGTAGTACCCATCCCAGTTGAACTGCATGGCCAGCACGTCAGGGTAAGAATCCCACTGCAGAGAGAAGGATGGCAAAGAGGGTCTCGTGAGTGCCCCAGCGCAGTCAGAGAGAGGGGTGGTGAGGATGTGTCAGGGGCCCATGGGGGCCCATGTGAGCTTTCTGGGGAGAGTGGATTCTCTAAATCAACAGAGGAAGCAGTCTGCCTGCTAAGGTGTCTGAGTTCCACTCAGACCCTCTGTCTGGAACCGCCAGCTCACTTCTCCCAGGAAGGCCAGAGTCAGAATCCATGTGCCCAATGCCAGGGGAGCAGGGATGTAACTGTTCCCAGTAGCCTTCACACGCGGAAGAGGAAGACAGTTTAGTGTCCCCAGATCGTTTCCAGACTCAGGGCAGCAAAGGTTTATAAAAAATATAAGAAGTTTAACTCAGACTAGCCAGACTGAAACTTCAGCTGACTCCACATTCTAAGGAAATTCAGGCAGCTGGTAATTGCATATCTTTGATTTTCCTCTCTCAGAATCCTCCCCTCCTACACTCTACCATCTGCAGAGGATGCCTCTGTCTCCTCCTGCCCCCTGCACCTCGGGAGCCCTCACTGGAAGCATGCTGGCTGTATAAACCTACTTTCCAGCAAATAGGAAAGTCATATTCACAATCCTGGATAGGCTGCCAAGAGGGTCAGGGTGAGGGACAAGCCTGCCTGTTCAGAATGCAGAATGAGGACAGGAAGTCTGGGTGCTAACAAGGCTTTCCCAGCCCATGAGGTCAGCATCAGTACTCACAGGCCCGTCATAGATGTGACTGTAATAGTCCACCAGGCCCTCCTTCTCCTGCATGTAGAAACGGATCCAGTTATGGAAGCCAGTGACCTTGCCTTTTTTGACCTCACCTATGATAAAGAGATCAAGGTGGGTAATCTGGGCCTCCCCTCCAACCTCTTTGCCTACTCCCATGCCAAGGCTCTCCCCCTTTTCTAGTCTCTGACTCCTAGAATGTCCACCCCAACTTCCTGGAGTCCCTCACATACCTAACTCTCAGCTCAGGAAGCTCCCCTCTACCCCAACCACCATTTCAGCTCAAGCCCTCTGGAGAATTTCTTCCCCTGGCTAAACCTGGACCAATCTAAGATCCTCTGGCCATTTCCCTAGGAATAAGCCAGTTTGGGTGGGAGCTTGGTGGGGTGTGGCAGTGCAGGAAAAGAATATGGTCTTCTTGGGAAGCAGCTGGCCAAGCACTGGAAATAGGACCATTGAGAGGCAGACAAACATGGCCTCAAAGGCATCTCCCTTCCTATGTGTGTGTGTTGGGAGCCCCAATATCTGGGCTTCTTTCTCCCTCAGATACTCCAGAAGAGACTGGTCCTCAAGAATGGCCCCTCAGTCCCCTCCCTCTTGGCCGGGAGAGCTGGTGTGGCTGCGGATCCATCAGTGTGGATGCTGCCCCATGCCTGAGGGAAGCATCCCTCTTCATCCCTCCACTTCTTTCTTCCCAAGCAGAGTAATCCCACCTGAGAAGACGTGCTCAAAGCCACTTGAGTCTCTCTCTTCTTTGCTTCTGGAATACAGCCCAAACCACATGTTCTTCAGGTCACTGACGAACTCCTGTTCCGAGCTGTAGCGGTCTGGGGAGAGGAGCAGAGGACTTGGAAGAGGGGAAGGCGGGGCCAGGTCTTGGGACGCAAGGAAGGGCCATCTGTCCCACCTCGACAAGAGGCAGGTGGTTCGCCAACAAATGTAGTCAGGTGTTTGTTTAGCAGTTATCTTTGGGGCACCTGTCCTGTGCCAGGCCCAGACCTGAAGGCTGAGGATTCAGCGGGGAATCATAAGGACAAGATCCCAGACTTTATAGTTTACATTCCAGTGGAGGAAACAAATGATAAACAAATAAACAGGATGATTTCAGATAAGTGCTATGAAGAAAATAAAGCAGATTATTCTGTGATGACTGAAGGTGGGGATGGGGTGCTCTTCTAGAAAGCCAGAAAGGCCTCTCTGAGAAGGCACTGGTCAGAGACCCGAAGGATAAGGAGTCAGCTGTACAAAGACCTGGGAGAAAGATTCTTACACTTAGAAGAAATAGGTGCAAAGGCTCCAGGACGCCTTGAACTTGATGTTCAAAGAGCTGAGAGTCTATGCGGGGGAGCACAGAGAGCAAGAGAGGAGAATGGTGGGAGAGCGGGTCTGCGGGGCAGTCAGAAGTCAGCATACAAGGGTTGGAGCTCGGTCAAACAGTAATAATAACAAAAGTATTTTAGATTTACTATGTTCTATGTGCCTGGCACTGTTTTAACTGCTTTCAGTTCTCGCATTGATTCTTCATGTCAGAGTGGTATCAGGCTTGGACTCCAAAATCACTGCCGACAGTGACTGCAGGCATGAAATTAAAAGACGCTTACTCCTTGAAAGAAAAGTTACGACAAACCTAGACAACATATTAAAAAGCAGAGACATCACTCTGCTAACAAAGGTCCATATAGTCAAAGCTATGGCTTTTCCAGTAGTCATGTACGGATGTGAGAGTTGGACCATAAAGAAGGCTGAGCGCCAAAGAACTGATGCCTTTGAACTGTGGTGCTGGAGAAGACTTTTGAGAGTCCCTTGGACTGCAAGGAGATCAATCAGTCAATCCTATAGGAAGTCAATCCTGAATATCCATTGGAAGGACTGATGCTGACGCTCCAATAATTTGGCCACTGGATACGAAGAGCTGACTCACTGGAAAAGACCCTGATGCTGTGAAAGGTTGAGGGCGGGAGGAGAAGGAAGCAGCAGAGGATGAGATGGTTGTATGGCATCACTGGCTGAGTGGGCATGAGCTGAGCAAACTCCAGGAGATGGTGAAGGACAGGGAAGCCTGGTGTACTGCAGTTCATAGGATCACATGGAGTCAGACACGACTTAGCAACTGAACAACAATTCCTGGTGGAGGAGAGTGATGACATAAAGAGAAGAATCAAATATAACTCCTGCACTTTGGGCACAAGCCACTGGATGAATTATGGAACTATTAATGAGATGGGGAAGGCTGAGAAAGGAGCAGGCCTGTCTGGAGGAAGAGGCAGGAACTGTGAGTTCTCTTTACACTAAGCTCTGAGTAGATGCCAGTTAGGCAAGTGGAGATGTCAGAAAGGTCAGTGAGACCCAAAGGAAAGGTCAGGGCTGGGGATGTGAATTAGGGAGCCATCAAATACCAACGGTTGACTGCCTAGAATTGTGAGAGGGGACAAGGAAGATGTAACCAGGCATATTCCCTCCTTTCAAGGACTTAAAACATAGTTGGAAAACAAGACTAAAAATACATGACATACCATATAGCTGATTCACTTTGCTGTACAGTAGGACCTAACACTACATTATAAAGCAACTATACTCCAATAAAAATTAGTTTTAAAAAATAAAAATATACGAGGTAACAGAGAACAGCTTCACAATCTGAATGATGACTGCTTTTCACTGAGTACTTCCCATGAATCAGTTTCCCAAGATCCCACCACACAGACAAGGCTCAGACCGGGTCCAAGGGTCAAAGGGCCCGGGGTCACAGGCTTCATGAGCAAGTGAAACCAAGTGTCTCTGCTCCAAGGGTATTTTAAGACAGAGTGCAAACCCTTGCCGCAAGCTGCGGCGAGTGCAGCTTCATAACGAGGTAGAATGTGAGCTAGAACTTTAAGGAGAAGCGGGATTTGGATAGGGAGAGGAGGGGAGGCCGGGTGAGTAGTGGAAAAGCCTGCAGCCGGGCTGTCTCCACCTCCCAAATCTTCTCGCGTGTTTCCCACCAAGAGAACACCAGGGGGCAGTGCAGGATCACGCCCTCTTCTAGGGTCTGCTTGTGTGTTACTGGCTTTACCTAAAAACACGGTTACTGACTTAGCGGGGCCACCCGAGGATGGAATGCGGTGTCTGAGCAGAGGCCATCCCCCCGCCAGCAAGGGACGACCTGGCTGGAGCCGCCCCCAGGCCAGGCCCAGCTGCCTGGAGTTCAGGGAAGGAATTCAGAGGACACTGACAAACACACCCCATGCCAAGAAGCCCTGAGGCCCAAACCATTTTTGGTCTGATTCGAATGTATCTCTATTGGAGTCGTTCCAGCCAGAACCCTTCCCAGTGAAACTTCCCACTCTGAACCTTTGTTGATTTTCTGTTGCTGCTTCCCCAGCAAAAAAAAGTGAAGTGGGCCGGCCTCCTTTCTGGACTCGGTGCCTAAGAAGGGAGCAGGGACACGGACCCTTCGTGCCTGGCAAATGGTGCTGAATCTGGGGTCCACTGAGGGGGCAGAGAAGTCCCCTGGGGGGCAGGGTGTGACTCACAGCCTGCAGTGAACCCTGAGACTGAAATACGCATGGGGGATAAAGGAGGTGGCTGAAAGAAAGTGCAAGTGTTAGCCACTCAGTCGTGCCCACTCTTAGCGAGCCCATGGACTGTAGCCCACCAGGTTCCTCTGTCCATGGGATTCTCCAGGCACGAATACTGGAGTGGCTTGCCATTCCCTTCTTCAGGGGTTCTTCCCGACCTAGGGATAGGACCATTTCCTGCATTGCAGGCAGATTCTTTACCGTCTGCGCCACCAGGTGCTCAGCCCCTGGTGCAGAGACCAGGTTAGAAGACAGGATGGCTCCCAAGCTGGGCAGAGGATTCTTCAGCTCCTGCCGGAGTCCGTGGGCTCCTCTCTCTGGCCCCTTCCCTGCCCCCTCCCAGGTGTACACTGGCCTCCACCTAAATCCTCACCTGCTCTCTTAACCTGCCCATCATGGAGCCCCGTCCCTGGCAGGCGCGCCCTGAGCCCTCAGCATGACCTCCCTCGCCGGCCTGCGGGGAGGCCTCACTGCCTCACTCACTCTGCTGCTGGAGGAAGCCGTAGAGTTCCTTCATGACGGCCGTCTTCATGATCTCTCTGAGGAAGGTGTCCTGCTCAGCCAGCTCCTGGGCTGTGAAGTGCTCCCCGCGGCCCGTGGCCCGCTGGTAGTTGTTAAGGAGGTTAATGAAGGCGGCGTAGGTCGGCTTCGAGAAGAGTTTCTCGTTGACATATGTGAAGAGCCTGGGGGCGGTAGAGGGAGGCCCGGTGAGAGGCCTGGACATGGAACAGAAACACTCCAGAATGGAGGGCAGGGCAGACGCAGGGCAGGCATGCCAGGGTTGGGTGCAGAGGCAGAGTGGGGCCTCAGATGCTCTTGGGGACAATGCATGAGGTCACTCTTTTCTCCACTTCATCTCTTGGAAGGTTAGTTCTATTCTCAGCCTGTCCATCCACCCTAAGTGGCTTCCGTCATGTCTGACTCTTTGCAACCCCATAGACTGTAGCCCACCAGGCTCCTCTGTCCATGGGATCTCCAAGCAAGAATACTGGAGTGGGTTGCCACTTCCTTCTCCAGGGGATCTTCCCAACCCAGGGACCGAACCCACATCTCTTAAGTCTCCTGCATCGGCAGACGGGTTCTTCACCACTAGTGCCACCTGGGAAACCCCAGAGACCCTCCCACATGGATCCCCACAGGCCCTCAGACTGGCTTTATCTGTCTCCAGAGAACTGTTTTCCCCTCTCCCTTTGATCCTGCCTGCCTTAGGAGAAGAGAGCTGAGGCACCAAAAGAGGCACAATTCGGGGAGAGACTTTGCTGGAAGAGGCATTCAGGGAACTCACGGCTCTGGGCAGCAGTCCACTTGGTCTCTGGTCTCCAAGGGTGAGATGCAGTTTTGGCTGTTAAGAACGATGTCTTCCTTCCGGGCTTTGTTGGTGTCTGCCCTGTAGATCTTCTCAGAGACACTCTGCAGTTCTTCCTTGGTTATGGCGTCACTGCTGTGGGAGAAGCCCTCTGCAAGGAATTGAGGAAGGGATGTCCCAGAGCTCAGTGAAGGTCAGGAGGCAGGTAGCTATCTGTGAACATCCCCTCTCGGGTACCTTCCAGAAGCCAGCATCAGGGGAAGGGGCTGCAGTCAGGCACCCTAGTGACGGCAGGGCAGTGGCCTAGAGCCTGTTAGTCCCTCAGGCGTGTCCAACTCTTTGGGACCCCAAGGACGGTAACCCACCAGGCTCCTCTGTCCGTGGAAGAGTACTCTCCAGGCAAGAGTACTGGAGTGGGTAGCCATTTCTTCTCCAGGGGACATTCCCAACCCAGGGATTGAACCCAGGTCTCAAGCAACCTAGATGCCCATCAGCAGACGAATGGATGAGGAAGCTGTGGTACATATACACCATGGAATATTACTCAGCCATTAAAAGGAATTCATTTGAATCAGTTCTAATGAGATGGATGAAACTGGAGCCCATTCTACAGAGCGAAGTAAGCCAGAAAGATAAAGACCATTACAGTATACTAACACATATATGTGGAATTTAGAAAGATGGTAATGATAACCCTATATGCAAAACAGAAAAAGAGACACAGATGTATAGAACAGACTTTTGGACTCTGTGGGAGAAGGCGAGGGTGGGATGTTTCAAGAGAACAGCATCGAAACATGTACATTATCTAGGGTGAAACAGATCACCAGCCCAGGCTGGATGCATGAGACAAGTGCTCGGACCTGGTGCACTGGGAAGACCCAGAGGGATTGGGTGGAGAGGGAGGTGGGAGGGGGGATAGGGATGGGGAATACATGTATATCCATGGCTGATTCATGTCAATGTATGACAAAAACCACTACAATATTGTGAAGCAATTAGCCTCCAACTAATAAAAATAAAGAAAGAAAGAAAGAAAGAACCCAGGTCTCCTGCATTGCAGGCAGATTCTTAACCGTCTGAGCCACCCAGGGAAGGATGCTTACACTTAGCACAAAAGACCCACACGGTCCCCTGCCACTAGGAAGATTTTTGCACTTTGGCAAGTATCAGGATCATCTGGAGGGTTTGTGAAAACATATCGGTGGGCCCCACCCCAGAGTTTCTGATTCTGTGGATCCAGGCTGAGCCTTAGAGTTTCCACTTCTAATAAATTTCCAGATTATGCTCATGCTGCTGGTCCAGGGGCCACGCTTGGAGAACCATTGCTCTAGAGAGTCCCTCTGCCTCCAGGGCTACGCTAAAGGGAGCAGGAGACTGACCATGGCCACACAGGCTCTCAAAATCCTCGCAGCAGTTTCCAAACTCTGGGCAGCGGGCATTGCAGTGGCATGGGTGGTGCTTGTCGAAGGCCTCCAGGCAGCGGCCCTGGCAGGAGTTGGGTGCCAAGTACAAGCCTGAGAGGACAGAGAGGAGGTGTGTCCTGAACAGACCTCTAGGGGTCGCTCTGTCGTGTCAGCGGCCAGACCAGGCCCCCTCCCCCACCCCACCCCCACGGCCAGCCCCTCAATCCCCACCCCCTACCAGCCTGCTCTCCTGCTTCCTATTAAAGAACTCCAGGGAAGGAAAACAAACAAGCTTAATTGGTGCACACCCTTCACAGTCAGGAAGTCCTTTCTGATGCTGAACTCTCCTTTCTGGCCTGTTGTTTTTATAATCTTCCCTCTCTAAAAATAAAATCTCTTAACCCTCCCTCTCCCTCTTGCAGGCTTCAGACTCTTTCCTGCCTACCCCTCCCCCCAGCTCCCTGAGGCCCCCAGGGCTTCCTCCTGCCCAGGCCCAGGAGGAAGTGAGCCCCCCACCACCTCCAGGTGCTAGATGTGGGGCCCTGGCTGGCTTAGGCCCGGGCCTATTGCTGTTGACATGGCTGACCTCTCTTTGCCCCATCCCGTGTCCCTTGCCCTTTCCCAAAAGCCCCCCTTTGCGAGGCAGACTCACTGCTAGCCGGGGCGCCCTCCGTCTCCTCCTCCAGCTCGGCGCCCTCCATCTCCTCCTCCAGCTCCAGGAATGGCTCTGGTTCTCTGGGATTCTCTTCAGCTGTAGGTCCAAGAAGTAAAGTCACCTGTCATCCCCAAGGGGTCCCTCCTCTTTATCCCTGGTTCTCAGTCCTCCCAACCAAGCATGTGCAATGGAAAAAAATACAAAACAGGGGCTCGGGTACAATAAACAAGTACCAGGTGAAGGAGGAGAAAAATAGAAAATGTGAGACAAGAGGGGGATTGAAAACCATCCTAAAACATGAAAGAACATCCCAGGCATGCCCGTCCTCACCATTTATCCTTCTGGTACTCAGCGTTGTTGTTCAGTCAGTAAGTCGTGTCTGACTTTTGCAACCCCGAGGACTGTAGCCCACCAGGCTCCTCTGTCCATAGAATTCTCCAGGCAAGAATACTGCAGTAGGTTACCATTTCTTCCCAGGGGATCTTCCCAACCCAGGGTTCGAACCCGCATCTCCTGCACTGGAGGCAGATTCTTTACCACTGAGCCACCAGGGAAGCCTAGTATTCAGCGTACTCATCCGTAAAAACAGGAGTGGGGACAAAAAGTGGTCCCTTCTGGGATGAAAACTCTGACACTGGTATGACTTTTCTTTAATATAAATTGATAGATGGATAGGCTTGAATCCCCCGAATGACAAGGCCCTCACTTAGGAACATCCCTTACCTATAATAACTCCCAGGGTCAAGGGTGAACTTCTCCCAGGCCTCAGGGAATAAGAACTGTTTCCTGAGTTACCAACTTCCCTTCTTTCTTCACAGTTGCACTTGGCAATGGCCACAAATGCTGCGTTTGGGGGAAGGGCGTTCAGAAAAGCACATTCCTACTGTGCCCCACCCCCTTGCCTGCAAGCAGATTGACTGCAGCCTGGGCTCTAAGCAGAGAAGGATGGAGTGAGGTTGGGAAGGAAGAGGAAGGCATGACCTGGGGACTCTGAGTTCCTCTCTCATCACAGAGTGGAATAAATTCCACCCCCTGCCCACCACTCAAAGCCAACACTATTACAAAGTGCTTCAGAATCTGTTAGTGTGTTCACTACATGGTGTGGGTTATTACTGTCAGACCTATGTCTGTGTGCTAAGTCGCTGCAGTGGTTTCCAGCTCTGCAACTCCATGGACTGTAGCCTGCCAGGCTCCTTCAGTCTGTGGGATTCTCCAAGCAAGAATACTGGAGTGGGTTGCCATACCCTCCTCCAGGGGATCTTCCCCATTTAGGGATCGAATCCGCATCTCTTAAGTCTCCTTCATTGGCAGGCTGGTTCTTTAGCACTAGCACCACCTGGGAAGCCCATCAGAACCATGGGGCAGGTTATTCACTGTCAACAAACATCTCCAATCACTTGCTTTCTGCCAGCCTGTGTTAATACTGACAATCCACAGGGTTCTTAACTCAGCCACATTTTATGCTGAATAGATTTCTGTGAGCTAATCTAGGGTCTCAACCACCATTTATAATATCTTTTCTATAGGAAAAGGGCTCTGAGTTGCACATGAGGGACAGGGATGAAATGGTTGCTAAGCTGAGTATGTTGAAATGGCAGAACTGATGGTCCACGGTGAACAAACCACCCTGTGTCTGCTGAATGGGGCACAGGGGAGGAGAGGAGGGTCAGCTCTGATTCTGGCACTGAGCTCTGGGCCTGGGTTTCCCTGCCCGGGCCTGACAGCAGAACTGCTAGTCCACTGGCGTTTTTATGTAAGTCGAATCAGCATTCCTTAGGGTGGAAGCACCTCTGAGGGCACATGGCTGGGTCAGCAGAGACCACACTTGGACAAATTAGGAAAAAGTACTCCTTTCTCTCAGCAGACACAGCTCTTCACCACGACACGTGGCTTAGAGAGAAGGATACAGATTCAACTTTGGTTCAGCTTGCCTTCTCAATCAGAGGCTCTTGTGCAGGACACAACATACACAACTGGCTGTTAGGTACCATGGCTTCAGTGACCATTTTCCAAACTGGGAGTCGGGGCATATGATTTGACAGTGAACTTAGTAGAAGACCATTTACCTAGGTGTCTAAAACATTGGAAGGATCAAAAAAGGGAATTATTCAAAATGAGTTTTTCAAATTTAAAACTGGGTAGTTGGACTAGCAGAACAACTGGCTTTTGAGGATGGTACTTGTCCTGCCTAACCCTTGGCCTAGGAATGATGTGCAGTCACTCAGTCCACTCGTGATAGGAAAAGTGGAAATGTTAGTCGCTCAGTTGTGTCTGACTCTTTGTGACCCCATGGATTGTATTCTGCCAGGCTCTTCTGTCCATGGGATTCTCCAGGCAAGAATACTGGAATGGGTAGCCATTCCCTTCTCCAGGGGATCTTTCCGACCCAGGATCAAACCTGAGGCTTCCATATTGCAAGCAGATTCTTTACCATCTGAGCCACCAGGGGAGCCCTGTGATAGGAAGAGTGGTGTGAATTGTGATAGTCATTGACACCATGTGGTCTTCCTGGTGGCATGCAAGTTGGGAAAGTTCACTACCATTTGTTTACTTTTGCAAATAATAATTGGTAATGTCATATATGCTAAAATGATATTTTCATCTTTTCCCTTTTTTTTAAATTCCTTAAACGTTCCAGATATTAATCCTAATAGTTCAGACAGATGTTCCGGGTAAATGACTTCTATTTTAAGTTGGGGTCTTACATTGGGGACATCCTAATCCTCTTCAGGTCCTTTGAGCACCGTGATCAGTCTGGAACCCTGCTCTGGATAGTTGGACATCCTGACCAGCAGTCCCTCAAGCAGGCTAGATGTGGTCATGGCTTGGCCTGCTGTGCCTCCCAGGCCCTTCAACCCACAAGGAGCCTCACCTGTACACAGCTGCTCATAGTCTTCACAGCAGTCCCCGTGCCGGGGACACCGGCGGTCACACTGGCAGACAGCATCCTGGTCAAATCTCTCATTACAGCGAGATGCGCATGACTCCCTTTTGCCTACGGTCAGTAAAGGTCACAGACTCAGCTCCTTGGGGATCCTACTCTGCTCATCACGGTGCCCTCTGCAGGAGGGTTCACAGACAGGGACCGGGGACTTACCTGGCAGGAAAGGTCATTGCTAGCTGCCAGGGAGAAGTACACACACAGCCTCCCATGAACAACAGCCTCACCCCCACTGCCCACCAGCCATCACCCACCACCCACTGACTATTGCAGGGCTCATAATATAGACCAGGACCACAAACTCAGATGCCTACTGAAGCTAGGCCTGTAACACAAACGAGTCAAGAGCAGGGAGGCAGTAGAAAGAGGTGGGGACTGTGACAGACTCGGAAACAATGCCCTGCCTGAAACTGGCAGCCACTAGCAGCTCCAGCCAATTATTGCCATTTGGGATGCAGGCTGAGTGTTGCCAGAGCCTCCAGTTTGCTTTTTTTTTTTAAGAGAAGCCTTCATTTTTATGTAAATTTTCCAATTTTAAAAAATTTGGAGAGACCAAAAAAAGAGGTCTGTGGGCTGGGCTTGGCCCGGAGACCATCATTCCCCTGTCACATTGAGGATGGTGGATTACAGTTGTTCTAAAGACCCCACCTGTCCTCTCCCCATGACCTATCCCCTGCCTCTCATCCTATCCCTTTTACATCTTCTGCTTCTTTGTTCTTCCCTCCCCTTAGCCTGGTCTCTCTAAACCCCCGTCCCCACTTGTTACAGCTTTCGGTCCCTTCTAGTCTTAGGAATGTGTTTGGATTAGTTTCGTTCAGGGTGGGGACTGAGGTGGGTGTGGGTGAGAATTGGGCTTTGGAACAAGATCTGTTATGCAACCACAGACCACATCCCTTGCTCCAGTCAAATGACTTGCAGAAGCAAGCTTTTGGTCACAAGGGGCATAAGACAAGAAATTTTGAAAGAAATGGTACAAACCCACCACCACTGCTAAAAAAACAAGCCCACCACAGCAAAGACAGTGGAAGGGGGGTGAGCCAGGTCAAGCTGGCTGCGCTCTCCTTCCTTCCATTCTAGGCTTTAAGGGTGATAACACAGCCTTTGTTTCCACTTGAGGTTCCTGAGGTTTGGATTTAGTGGTTCTGGGTTTAGGGTCAGGCTGTGGGTTACAGAGAATGTCAAGATCAGAGTCAGAGTCACAGTTAACACTGGAATTTGTATGAATGAAGAAACCTAAACCTAATTTGGGCCAGCGATGGGGCTTGTTAGGTTTAGATGTGGAGCTACAGCTAGGATTTGGGCTTGAGTTAATTACTGGTAAAATAACAATTCTGCATTGCTGTTTGGATAAGGAATGAGGAGTAGGTCTAAAACCACATTCAGGGTTGAGGAATGTGGCAAGACCAAGAGAGGAGAAATAATCCCAATTTTGCCTTAGAGAAGATTTGGGGTTTGGTCCCGGCTGCTGTTTCACACAGGTATAGCACTGCAGTTAGGTATAGCATTGCAGTTGAGCCTGGCTTGGGGTGGAGGTGGAGATGAGGGCTATGGGCTGGGTTACTGGTTTGGGATTAGGGCTTACACAGTTCTAATGAGGATGACACAGCAGAGAGGCCAAGAACCCAGACTCTGGCACCAAACTGCTTGAGGCCGGAATTCTAGTTCTGCTGCTTTCTAGCTACGTGTTCTTGGGCAAGTTATTTTACCTGCTGTGCCCCAGGTTCCTTCTCTGTAAAAGTGTGACCATAATGGAGCCCATCTCATAGAATATTCGTAAGAATTCAATGAGTTCATTTTTGTAAAGCACTTAGGACACTGCAGGACACATTAGTAGCACCATGTAAGTGTTAGATAAATAAGCGGTCAGCATTCCACGCCCATCTTCAAGGTGGTAAGTGTCCAGACTGGCTGGAGCAGTCTTCCCTGTCTACACGCCTGATCTAGCTGACTGCCTCCCTGAGTTTCAGCCAGGCCATCCCTTGGGCTGACAGTTTCTAGCTGACATCATCGCTATGGGTCTGTGTTCTTTACATCAAAGAGGTTCTTTACATCATGTCAAGGTTAACCCAGGTTCTGAGGCAACTTCACATAAAGGGCCTCAAAAGTGGCCAGAAAGGCAGAGCCAGTGAATCGTCCCTAGAGAAGACCGGGTCAAGGCCACTTGTCCCTCCAAGCCCAGGGGAACACCCCCTGAATCTTAAGTGATGCTCCCTTGGGGCCCACATGCAAAGAACTCAAGGAGAAGTTTTCAGTCCAGGAGGAAGGCTATGTCAGCTGCCTGCTCAGTTAGCCTGGCAGTACACCCAGAATCCAAAGGGAGAGAACTCAGACAAATCAGGACAACCTTCTTAAATGGGCCAGATCAGCAGAGTCCACGGAAGGAACTCACTCCAGTCCAGCCGCTGGCACGAGTTGAGAAGGGCTGCAAGTGAATGGTCAGCTCTGTAGAGCTCAGGAGGACACCCCGCACTGGCCCTGGCTGAGTGAACTCTTTCATCTCTATTCAAGAGCTTTGTCATCGCTGGAAACCCCGGGCCAGAGGTCCTGTACACTTCCCTGTAAACCTGGCCATCTGCTTTAAGAGGACCTTGGGGTATGAGGGGATGGGGAGGGGGTGGGAGAGACTTTTCCTCATAGAACTCTCTGCTATATCTGTTCTGGGGGCCCTCTGGGGACTAGTCACCGTGACTGCTTCTCCAGCGCTCCCAGCCAGCAGCCCCGATCCACACAAACCCTCTGTGTACACCCTGCTCATCAGCCAGGCACCTGAATCACTGCTCCAGTAACCCCAGTAACCCTCTTGCCCATCTCTCTCTCTTTTTTTTTTTTTCGGACTCTATTTTGGCCTTTCTGTACCCTCACAGAGCTTATCAACAACACCCACCCCCCACCCCCGGCCAACAATCCCTACATGAAATACTGAATTTCTCTAAACACTCCAAAACTCAAATGTGCCAGAATGCCCACCCCCTATCCGTACTGCCCATCAAGAAACTTGGTCCCGAGCCTGGGTGTCCCCTATATGACAGCGCTCCGCCCCTCTGATGTTTAGGGAATCCCACATCCCTGCTTCTCTGGGGGCCCCAGATGCTGTTTCCATGGAGATCTAGCCCACCAAGATGATTCACTTCCAGCCTCAATTCACTTGAAATAACTGAGGACCTAAGCCTGGCTCCCATGCTATTCGTACTCGCATCTAAGTTCTGAGATGCTGGCGGAAGACAGACAAGAACCGAGCCCCTTTCTCCCACTTTAGGAAAGGAGGAGGCATCACCCACTGGACCCTGACTTCTCCATCAGTCCTGCAGCAGGGTCAGACCACCAGCCCCAGGGGCAAGAAAGGTACCTTGCCTTTCTGAAGCCACTGTTGTGTCTGCCCTCAGGGATATCCGCCAGGGACCAAATGTCTCCAAGTGGTCTCATCTCCTGAGACTGGGATGTCCCAACCCCACGGCCACTGCTTCACACGAACCTTGAAGCTCTACACCCTCCCTCCCTCTCTACCACGCGCTCTGCACCCCCCGGGCGGGCTGCTCTGCTATGTCTGCGGGAGTGGAGCTCCAGCATCCCAGCCAGTGGGGAGGCCTGGGAATGACTTTCCCCTCCAAAGTCTTTTCCTTTCATTTCTTTAGTGGTCTCCTTACCCAATTCCTCATGGGAAATGATTCCAAGACTAAATTTTATACTTATATAAATTATTTTATGTAAATAAATATTTATTATATCATATTAATATTACATTATAATACAGGTAAAATATAAATGATTTTTTATGTATTTACATTAAGGACTTCCCTGGTGGCTCAGGGGTAAAGAATCTGCCTGCCAATGCAGGCGACTCAGGTTCAATCCCTGGGTCAGGAAGATCCCCTAGAGAAGGAACTAGCACCCCACTCCGGTATTCTTGCCTGAGAAATCCCATGGCGAGAGGAGCCTGGTGGCCTACAGTTCATGGGGTCACAAAGAGTCAGACACGACTGAGTGACTAAATGACAATTTATCATCACAATCTCATAATCAAAGACCCACTTCTTTGAGATATCATTCCATATAGGGTGCTTCTGATATATTATCTTATTCAATCCTTATGCCAGTCCTGGGTAGGAACACCCTGGTGGGGTGCGATGTGTATCAAGCTCGGATTCTTTCTCCTCTGGGCAGAGGAGGATTCCCCCCACACCCCTCGGCTCAGCCCCTCCCTTGGCACTCTCCTCCTCACCCAGTAACCACCAGTCAACACGGCAGCACCAGCAGCTGCCTCCTGCTGACCAGGAGCGAGCGTGTTCCCATCCTCAGCACTGGTCCCATCCCTGAACCGCTAGTACCTGGGGGCCTGGATGCTTCTCCACTTTAGGTCCCCTACCAGGGACGAGACGGAGTCCTCTGACCCCATGGCCTGCCTCCTGGTCAGGGGCTCTATCCCTGGAGCCTGCCCACCAACTAAGGCTTCATAGGGAAAAGTCCCACCCAGACAACTCACTCCTCACCCAGGCAGCAGAGGAAGTGACCAAGGGCAGCCAGGCCACGCAAACCCAATCAGTCACAGTCCAGCTTCACACCATATGGTGGCCTTGGAAAACAAAACCTTGGTGAAATCAAGTCAAGCTGGACTCAGGGTTGTTTGGGGCCCATCTTCCAAGGTGTCCCTGGCTCAGCAGTTCTGCAGCTCCCTTCACACAGCCCTGTCTACTCCAGAGGCAACTCCTGCCTCAGGCCAGGCCTGGTCTAGGGGGTCCAAGGCTTTTGGACAGAGCTGGCCCTCCCTTATCTCACTACCCACATGCTCTCCCTCCAGGTCCCCCAACTCTCTGCAGGACCCCTGTCATCCCCACCAGTAGTGACTTACCGGCCCAGGCCAGACCACAGAGCATGGCCACTATCAGGGGGACACAGGCCCTCATGGTGTCCAGTCAGAGGCCAACAGGAGCTGGCCGGTGGACTTTGACTAGCGTCAACGTAAATGTCACAGCTCCCAGATGAGCCTCTGGCCCAGGCGGATCCTTTTAAAGACATCAGACCCTGTGGATCTGGTGCCTCCAGATCCTTTCAGGAAGAAAAAAAGGGGAGGGAGGGACCCCAGATGGAAGGAGGCGGGGACGGGGTGGGGCCTGACAGCTGTTTGAAGCCAGAGGCAAGGTGACTAAGGAGGCAGGTAATGCTAGATGTTTAGAACAGGTAATGCTAGCTGTTCGTAGCTTAGAAATAGGCCATACACATACACACTGAGGAAACCAGATTTGAAAGAGACACGTGCACCCCAATGTTCATCGCAGCACTGTTTATAATAGCCAGGACATGGAAGCAACCTAGATGCCCATCAGCAGACCAATGGATGAGGAAGCTGTGGTACATATACACCATGGAATATTACTCAGCCATTAAAAAGAATTCATTTGAATCAGTTCTAATGAGATGGATGAAACTGGAGCCCATTATACAGAGCGAAGTAAGCCAGAAAGATAAAGACCATTACAGTATACTAACACATATATATGGAATTTAGAAAGATGGTAACGATAACCCTATATGCAAAACAGAAAAAGAGACTCCGATGTATAGAACAGACTTGTGGACTCTGGGAGAAGGCGAGGGTTGTTGGATGTTTCAAGAGAACAGCATTGAAACACGTATATTATCTAGGGTGAAACAGATCACCAGCCCAGGTTGGGTGCATGAGACAAGTGCTCGGGCCTGGTGCACTGGGAAGACCCAGAGGGATCGGGTGGAGAGGGAGGTGGGAGGGGGGACCAGGATGGGGAATATATGTAAATCCATGGCTAATTCATTTCAATGTATGACAAAAACCACTGCAATAATGTAAAGTAATTAGCCTCCAACTAATAAAAATAAATGAAAAAAATAAAAGGAATAGGCCATACAAACAGGCATAGCAACTCGGGTCTCGTTTGGGGGGGTTCTCTGTCCAGGTGAGGAGAACTCATAGGCTTATCTCTGGTGATGTCCTCTAAACATCCACCGACCTGAAAGCCAAAGGCCTAACCTTCCAAGGGGCTACGACTGGCTCCATCTTCGAACTCCAGGTGCTCAGCTTGAGAAATATAGTGAAAAGATCATCATGTGTTAGACAAATAGTAAGTGCTTAAGCAAGCTTTGGGCTTCCCTCAAAGCTCAGTGAATAAAGAATCTGCCTGCAATGCAGGAGACCTGGATTCAATTCGTGGGTTGAAAAGATCCCCTGGAGAAGGAAATGGCAACCCACTCCGATATTCTTACCTGGAGAATCCCAAAGACAGAGGAACCTGGCAGGCTACAGTCCATGGGGTCGCAAGAGTCAGACACGACTTAGTGATTACACCACCACCACCAGGCAAGGTTTGGGTCACCGGAAGGGGTGATCTAGGAGGCATGGTTCAGAAACAAGTGCTGCTCTTAGTACATCAAGCTGCACATAGCTACCTCATCCTTGAAATATCATGCAAATGGGCCTCTACTCTTACTGAGTCAGCATCTCATGTTTTACCTGTTTTAGGTTCTCCCAAGCTCCAGGTTTATGAGGCTGGAGAGGGCAAGAGACCTCTTAAAGGTTGCCGAAGGACCATCCTTCCTCTCCTCCCCTCATCCCTCATCCCTGTTACATTCCTCTCCCCCATGGACCACCCCCCGAAAGACTCAAGGCTCTCAGGGCTCCCATCATCCCAGGCCCAAGGGCAGAGATGCAGCAACAAAGAGCTTCCAAATTCTCCCCTCCTAATAAAGGTAAGTAAAATGCCCTTTCCAGAAAGAGCCCTGCATGGAGATTCTCAGCTGTCTCAAAAAAGAAAAGTCTCATAGGAAAAGCCAAAACTGATGAACAAGTGAGAGCACACGGTAGTGATTTTTCTTGGGGTAGAGTCAAGGCAAGCACATCCTCCTCAGGTGCTTTTTAACAGTGGAAACTTCCTCTCTCTCAACTTCAATTTTCCTATCTTTGAAACACCTTCTAAGTTCTCAGATTCTAATTGTCAAGCTTCCTGCCCGTGCCCTGGGTTGGGCAGATGCAGCGAGTTAAGGAGAATCCCCCAAACCTCTCTGTGTGGAGATGAGACCAAACCGCGGACCCTTGGGGATGGAACGGGCAGCCAAGGGCAAGCCACTTTGTAAGGGACTCGAACCAAGAACACAATAAGGAATAAGCCTCGCCCTTCTCTCCAGGAAGCCCAGTTCAAGGGAGTAGGAGTCCTTTATTTGCATATATGTTGTTTGAACAACCAGAAAGCAGGAGCTAAGCCATTGCCAGCCAGAGTACTCGCCCTCCCTGAACTGGCAACACAGGGACAGAGACACCAGTTAGTTTAGGAATTAAAGCAGAGAGTCCCTGGCTGGGAGGAAGCAATGGAGCCTCAGAGTTTGGGACTGGATGGTCTGTCCCTTCCAGGGCCCAGCTGGGTGGACCCTGGATAAGGCCAAAGCTCTCAGGATGGGAGTGGGGTCTGGCCGGGGTTGCTCTGATGTTCAGCTGAACAGACTATGGGATGGAGCTTCAAGTGTGGGAGCACTTCCCTCCCTCCATCAGGGGATTTTCAGGTCAGGGGCAAGGCTGGGAGCTGGGGAGACCATTGAAACTGACCCCACAGGGCCAGTGTGCTGATGGGGTCAACCTTAACAACAACCACCAACATTGACAGAGCACATATCATGGGTCACCCATGAAGAGCTGCCTACTTGCTGTTCCCTCCTCACTCACTACAATCCTTTAGAGGTACTATTGTTGTGTGTAGCCCACAAGATTCCTCAGTCTATAGAATTCTCCAGGCAAGAATACTGGAGTGGGTTGCCATGCCCTCCTCCAGGGGATCTTCCCAACCCAGGGATCAAACCCAGGTCTCCTATATTGCAAGCAGATTCTTTACTTTCTGAGCCACCAGGGAAGCCCCAGGTACCATTGTTACCCTCATTTTACAGGTAAGGAAACTGAGGCACAGAAAGGTTGGGGGATGTGCCTTAAACACCAACCTTTAAAACACATCAACAGGGACTTCCTGACAATCCAGTGGTTAAGATTCCGTGGTTCCACTGTAGGGAGCATGGGTTCGACTCCTGGTCAGGAAACTAGGATCCTGTATGCCTTGCCACACAGAAAGAAAAAAAAAAATCAGCAATCACTTTATTATGTCTGAGTTTTTATGCAAAGTGGTCTGAGATCACATTCATTGGGATTAAATGGACCTCCATGATCATCTGGTTCCACTTCCCATATGATGTTGCGATGCCCTAAACCATCACTCTGCCTCCACAGGAGGGTCTCTGGTGCCAAGGGATCCCATCCTCTCCCCGCTTCCCAGATCTGATTCCCAGATCCCAAGACATGCTGACGTGGACAAAAGTCAATAGGATAGTAGGAAAAATCCATTCAGTCAATATATGAACATACATCCGTACGTTCACACAAGGATGCCTCACAGATGCACTTATGTGCACATGTAGAGAAAGACACATTAGGCTATATTTCAGACAGCTTTCTCTTCCTGGACAGACAACATTGCTGCTGCTGCTTCCAAGTTCTCCTCCAAGTAGGTCCTCATGGTGGGCTTCCCACCCGTGTTGGAAAGCTCTTCTTCCCAAGGGCCCCATGGGGGTCAGCCAGCCAGTGGGAGTCCCAGGAGGCTGGGTCCCAGAGACCCGCGTGGGAAGAAGGTCACAACAGGTGCTTATGGCTAGTCTACCCACGATGAGATCCCAGCAGAGGCACCTCATCATCAGGAAGCCAGGAGAGGGTGCAGCTGTGGCCTCTGACCGGGTTTGGAGGGCCAGGAAGAGGATGAAGCCACCTGGGCAAGAATCCAGGAGACTATCACCTGTCAGCCGTGTGGGGAGCGGGAATTCCTGCAGCAGATATTTACTGGTGCTCACTGTATGGCTGCTGCTCTGCCAGTCCTGGACTGGCAGGGTGCAGACTGGTCTAGAAACTTCTGGGAACACACTGGTTTCTGCTGGGATGGAAGATAGGGAAGCCCCAGCTTAGGCCACTGTTTGAAGTAGACCACACTCATCTCTGGGCTTCCAAACGATCTGTCAGGGCCAACAGGCTATGGGACAGACTGGCCCAGGGGGGCTACAAAGGGAGATATGTGTCCAGACAAGCCTGTTCCACCTCCCTTGTTCTCTCTGAAACTGATGCTGAGTCACTGCAGCCCAGGACCGGAGTCCGGACGGACCCTGCAGCGGGCTCAGCACAGGTGAGGCCTGGAGTCACTTACTGAGGGGCCTCTGGCACCACAAGATGCTGGATCTCCAGCCTCCCCCCAGCTGTGACCTGGGAGTGCCCCCAGGATGGCAGCCCCCATCTCATGACTTGTCCATCAATCTGTAGTTTCCTCTTACTGACCGTGGCTTAGAACGGCTCCATGTGTGGTTTTCTCCCACACTGGTTTGCATGCTGTGTACCACAGCTGGGTTTCCAGGAATTTTTTTTTTTTTAGTTCACGGGCATCTTGACATTCAGCATCACATTCACCACCAGCCCTAGGCATATTCGTCAGACATGCCACCTGGCCCATTTGTACTGTGATGGACCCAAGCTGTAAATCTGGTTCCACTGGCTACACCACATCCTGGTACTCTGCCTGGAATGCCCTGCCCCCACCCCCCCAACCCATCTGCTGTCCATCTCCTACTCATCCACCAGCCCCAGAGCAAATCCACCCTTCCACAAAGCCTGACTTCCTCCTCCACTCCCACCTATGGACTCAGTTCTTGCTAATTGTCACATGTGCCTTTGAGACACATCACATCTGATAGACAGTGCTGCCAGTGGAGTGGGGGTTAACCGCTGCCCTGCCATTTAACTCTTCATCCATACAGGCTGTTTCTTCAGCTGGCCTCTGAAATTCCTTAATCTAGGAACTCTGCCTCATGGGTCCCCTCAACTGCTTTGTATTGCCCACCCAGTGAATATTAGATTACAGCCAACTTGTGCCTGGGACCATCAATGAATCAGTGAATGAGGAGTAAATGAATGAGCAGACTGAGCCTTCCAGCCTCACTGTGATAAAGGCCCAAGGGAAGATGATGACAAAACAGAAAAAAAGGCTTCCTCCAGTAGCTCTGAAGGGTCCAGAATCGGTCCTTAGGGAGAGTGTGGGAGGGCTCATGGGCGCAGGGATTCACTTTGTAGCTGTTTTGTCATAGCAAACACTATTTTCATCTGGGACTAATGGAAACCTCGGGGGACCCAATGCCCCAAACCACTCCTTGGCACCACCACTGCAAAGGGGCAGCCAGTGCAGGGACTGGCTAGAACTCAGGATTCCAGCAAATTCTGAATCCACCATTCAACTTTATCCTGCTTTTTAGAATCGCAAATAAGCAGCTGCCTGCACTTTTTGCCAACTGTGCTAATGTTTGTTTTATACTGCCTGCTAGTGACTGTAAAATAAAACTTTTTCACATCCTTGAACCCCAGTGGCTTCAGAGAGGTCTGGGGGCACAGATGGGAACAAAGAGAGGTGGCTGAGACAGCAGACAGGGATAAGGAGGCTTGGAGAGACAGCGCGGGAGTGAGTAAGGGCAAGATCAAGGCAGAGTGCTGGGCGGAGGCCGACCAGGAACCAGGTGCAGGCTTAAGGCACCCTGCCCACCTCTCGCCCCAGGTGTGTTGGCACCGCCAGCTGATCTGTCCTCACAAAGACGATGACAGGACTGGCAGGAGCAATTCCCAACGCATGGCGTGGGATCTGAAATCTGGCCAAATTTTCATAATTACTGTGCTGAGGTAGTTGGATGATGGGCAGTTTGCCCCTTCCTCGTTCATCTGAGCATGCGCTCCGTTACGCCAAGCCAAGCGGACCATGGATGGGTTCTCAGCATCACACAGGACAATGGACAGGGTACACTGAAAGCTCGGGTTGAAGCCAGCAGGACACCATGCTGAGGCCATGGGTTCTAAGCCAGGCTGCCTGGGTTTGATCCCAGCTCTGCCAGTCACCTGCTATACAACCCTGGGCGAGTTCCCCGACCTCTCTGTGCCTAGTAAGAATACCTTACAGGATAGGTTGTGGGACTGAATGAGTCAATATTTGCCAAGTCTTAAAACAATATCAGGCACATAGCAAGACCAGGGAAGTGTGTGCCTTTTTAAAAAAAAAAGTCTGGCCTTGAAGCATGGCCATGGGTGCTCCCCTGGAGGAAAGATCAACAGGCTGTGAATGGAGCTGAAGAAGAAGCTGTTCAAGCTGGGGCTGGTGTTTCACCTGGAGCGGAGACTAAGGCACCACGTGGATGGGGCTGTGATAGACGAAGGGCTGATCATATGGAAACATCTCAAGAAGCAGGTGCACGTGCCAACATTACCGTGTGGGAAGAGGCGCAGAAGACTCCCCCATCAGAGCCAGCTTGCCCAGGAAGAGAAAGTGGCCATGAAAGTGGAAGCCCCTCCCAAGCAAGCCAGGACTAGTGTGTATGTACTAGGTTGCCTCACTCTTTGCAACCCCATGGACTACAGCCCGCCAGGCTCCTCTGTCCATGGGATTCTCCAAGCAAGAATACTGGAGTGGGTTGCATACCCTCCTCCAGGGGATCTTCCCGATCCAGTGATGGAACCCACATCTCTTACATCTCCTGCTTTGGCAGGTGAGTTCTTTACCACCTGGAAAGCCCACAGCCCAAATCAAAAAAGAAGACAAAAGCCCCCCAGACATAGAGGACCTTGAACATAAGAGCTAGATCTCACAGCTCTTCCCCCAGAAGATTCTCAAGGGGAACCAGGAGGACTCAGAAGGTTGTTTCAGAGGACTTAGAAGAAACCGTAGCTCCTTTTCACTTCCTAACAGCCTACTGATCTGCCCTGCAGGGATGTACTGAGAGAAAGAGGGTAGAAAAAATAGATTGGAGAGGTGGTCCAAGCAGTCAGCTCTATTTGTAACAGAGCCCGAGGGTTCTCTCTGAAATGTGTGTGGTTAAGCATGGGAATGGGCCATGAAAAGGGGCTGTGAGTGTGGAAACAAGACAATTGAAAAACAGGACACATAGTGCTTACTTGAGCAAAGGCAACAAGAAGCCAACCTACATGATGGCCCTGTTTCCCCAATGAGTGACACTCCAATTGTGGATTTCTGATCAAAATGGTTATTGTAGAGATGGCAGAGGAGGTAAGGGTCCTGATATGAGCCCTGCCACCTCCCCTGTGTGACCAGGGTGGACTAGTGACCATGATTGTCTTGGCTTCCTTTGCTGGATTATGTTTTTAATAAAGTGAACATTATTTTTCCCTTAAAAAAATAGGTTCACATAGAATCTAATTTACATGGATGCTTAGGGAAGGTCTCCCTGAAAAAATAACCTTTAAAGTGGCAATTTTTCTTTTTGTTTGGGGTCATTTTTCTAATCTAAGCTCTCCATTAGGTGATTTATTTTTTATTTTTTGGCCCTGCCGCATAGCTTGTGGGACCTTAATTCCCTGCGTGCGTGCTCAGTTGCTTCAATAGTGTCTAACTCTTCGCCACCCTATGGACTGTAGCCTTCCAGGCTCCTCTGTCCATAGGATTCTCCAGGCAAGTATATTGGAGTGGGTTGCTATGCCCTCCTCCAGGGATCTTCCCCACCCAGGGATGGAAACTGCGTCTCTTATGTCTCCTGCACTGACAGGCAGGTTCTTTACCACTTGCGCCACCTGAGAAGCCCTGATCAGGGATCAAATCTGGGCCCCTGCAGGGGAAGCCAGGAGTCCTAACTAGTGGACCACCAGAGAATTCTCTATAAGGTGATTTAAAAAACTAATTCCAAAAATAAATTTACATTCTCAAATTGTACATTTGAGTACTTTCAAGTCTTGGGGATGACACTGTAATGAGTCACAGCGTATAGCTCACCTGATTTGTTGGCCAAAGGTGATCCCTATTTTCTGGGGGTCCGGCTGCAGCCTGGGGAACTGAGCTTTGTGCGTGGGAACCTGAGGGCTTCAGTGGGAACAACGCACAGCTCTGGCCTCCCGGGCCTTGGTTGTTGATGAGATTGCCAACGGTTGCCTGGCCCAGAAGATAAAAACCAAGAGGCGGGACAAAGAAGGCCGGCCTCTTCAGTGGGCCTCCAGAGTCCACAGGCTCTACCTCCAGCACACAGGTTGCCCTCCAGGGCCCGGTCCCAGTGAAGCTGAGCAGGTGGAGCTTGCCACCCACTTCTCCCTCCAACTATCACCCCGGAGGATTCTGCCATATTCCCCAAGTCATACTCCGGACCTTGCCCTTGGCCCTCTGTCATGAACATTCCCCTTATGCCATTGCTTTAGGCTCTTCCTTTCCTGTTCTCCCCCTTAAAATGACCATTAGAAGTATTCACTACAATCTCGACCATCAGAATCCTCCCAAGTTTGTTGTTGAGTTGCTAAGTCTTTCCAACTCTTTGTGGCCCCATGGACTGCAGCACTCCAAGATCCTCTATCCTTCACTATCTCCCAGAGTTTGCTCAAACTCATGTCCATTGAGTAGGTGGTGCTATCTAACCATCTCATTCTCTGCTACCCCCTTCTCCTTTTGCCTTCAATCTTTCCCAGCATCAGGGTATTTTCCAATGAGTTGGCTCTTTACATCAGGTGGCCAAAGTATTGGAGCTTCAGCTTCAGCATGAGTCCTTCCAATGAATATTCAGGATTGATTTCCTTTAGGATTGACTAGTTTGATCTTCTTGCAGTCCAAGGGACTTTCAAGAGTCTTCTTCAACACCACAACTCAAAAGCATCAATTCTTTGGCGCTAAGCCTTCTTTATGGTCCAACTCTGACAACCCTACATGACTACTGGAAAAACCATAGCTTTGACTATATGGACTTTTGTCTGAAAAGTGATGTCTCTGCTTTTTAATATGCTGTCTAGGTTTGTCAAAGCTTTCCTTCCAAGGAGCAAGCACCATTTAATTTCCATGACCGGTTCTAACTGTGGCTTCTTGACTTGTATACAGGTGTCACAGGAGACAGGTAAGGTGGTCTGGTATTCTCATCTAAGAATTTTCCAGTTTGTTGTGATCCCCACAAAGGCTTTAGCATAGTCAATGAAGCAGAATGGATGTTTTTCTGGAATTCCCTTGCTTTCTCTATGACACAACAAATGTTGGCAATTTGACCTCTGGTTCCTCCGCCTTTTCTAAACCTAGCTTGTACATCTGGAAGTTCTCAGTTCCTATACTGCTGAAGCCTAGCTTGAAGGATTTTGAGCATAAGCTTACTAGCATGTGAAACGAGCACAACTGTACAATAGTCGGAGCATTCTTTGACATTGCCCTTCTTTGGGACTGGAATGAAAACTGACCTTTTCCAGTCCGGTGGCTACTGCTGAGTTTTCCAAATTTGCTGGCATATTGAGTGCAGCGCTTTAACAACATCAGCTGGAATTCCATCACCTCCACTAACTTTGTTCAAAATAATGCTTCCTAAGGCCCACTTGACTTCACTTCACACACCAGGATGTCTGGCTCTAGGTTACTGATTACACCATTGTGATTATCCAGTTACTAAGACTTTTTTTCATATAGTCCTTCTGTATATTCTGGGCATCTCTTCTTAATCTCTTCTGCTTCTGTTAGGTCCTTACTGTTTCTGTGCTTTATCGTGCCCATACTTACATGAAATATTCCCTTGATATCTCCAATTTTCTTGAAGAGATTGCTAGTCTTTCCCATTGGTTTCCTCTATTTCTTTGCATTGTTCACTTAAGAAAGCTTTCTTGTCTCTCATTGCTATCCTCTGGAACTCTGCATTCAGTTGAGTGTATCTTTCTCTTTCTCCTTTGCCTTTTGCTTCTCTTCATTTCTCCCAAGTTACATACCTATGTAACAGGAACCTCCTAGAGACAACTAGAACTCAAGTAGGCTGCAGAAGATAATATTTAGGGGCAGAGAACTCTCTGAGAATGCTTCTAACAAAATTGTGCTTGGGACTTCCCTAGTGGTCCAGGGGCTAAAACTCCAAGCTCCCAAACCAGGGGGCCCAGATTTGATCCTTGGTCAGGGAACTGGATCCCAAATGCTGCAACTAAGAGTTTGAATGCTGCAACTGAAGATCCTGCATGCTGCAAAGAAGATCAACAATCCTGCATACTGCAGTTAAGACCCAGCACAACCAAATAAATAATTTTGTGACTGACTCTCCCTCCCACAGGCAGTCTGGCTGGGGGCCACCACTGGGAAGATGCTCAGGAAGTTGGGGAGGGTCCACACCCTCATGACCCAAGAGGGTCACATTGCATGTGATGCCTTGAGCTAAGTCAAAGACAGCAGTTGCAAGAAAATATCGCAAGCCCTTCTAATCCAAATCCCTACTTATTAATAAGGAAGCTGAGGCCTCAGAAGAGGAAGGGACTTGCCCAAGGCCACTGCCTGCTCATGGGAGGACTGCCCTGACACTGGCCTGTGCTACCTCAAGCTCTGGTTTACAGAGCGCTTTTTCTGGGAGGTGCAGTAAGTTTTAAATGTCCTCTTGCCAAGGACGCAGCAAAAGGCTGCCCTCTCGCCATCCTTATGCTGGCTAGAGTCCCCTGAGTGCCAGGAAAGCCTTGCAATCTCCTCTACTCAGCAACCGGGAAGCAGTTCCAGCTGCCCACAGCTCACACCAGCGAGGAAACTGAGGCCCAGGCCTTCCTCAAAGGCCAACAGCATGGCAGGCAGGGTCAGGCAAGGCCCTGGGCTCCCTGGCCCACGGGCCATACTGGTCAGAATCTAAACACACACAAAAAACCAGAATCTTACTCTTTCCCACATGACGTGGGTCTGGGCTCCAAGCCCAGCCTTCCTCCTTCTTCTGGGGGTCCCGAGGCCCAAATTCCTGCAGCAGCAGCAGCCCTTTGGCCCCAGCAAGACCACTTGCCCTATGACATGCAGGCGTGAGAGGGATGAGCTCTCAAAGCACAGAGCAGTCGGATGCAGTTGGCTGGGAGGGATGGTAGCCCCATTTCAGAGCACTGTCAGGCTGGGCTATGCTTGGGTCTTGAAGAGTCCAGAGCCTCAGAGAGGGGTGCCTGGATTGGCTGGGGCAACCGGACGGGCCTGAGAGGATGCTTATTTCCAGCCCATGGCCTTGGCCCTCATGTGAGAAGCCCAGGACTTTGCGGGCAGGGCTGATGATACATTCTGGAATGCATTTATGTTCTGGCCTATAGGTCCATGAAAGGAAGAAGAGATGGAGAACAATGGCCCAGTCAGAGACTGTCCCAGCCACCAGCCACCACACTGATACTTGGGTGGCTGGTGCCAGTGTTGAGCTCAGAGCACCCCAAGTCTGGGAGGCAGAGCTGTGCAGGCAGGCGTCCAGGGCTCAGGGGGGGCCAGAGGGCTGCAGCCCAGGGGAGCAGCTGTGGGCCTGAGTGCTTAGGGGTGAGCAGTGAGATCCCATGGCCCCAAGCATCCACTGCTGTCTGGACTTGCCCTCTGGGGCATCTCCTCCCCTCTGCTGGCCTTGTTCTGCATCAGTCTCCCTAGCTGGGTGGTCTGCTCCAGGGGGCCATAACCACCTATCTCATAGGTAGGACTGCCCTATGAAGCCTACAGTGAGTATTTCAAAATAAAAAGGAGGGACTGCTGTGCCGTTCAGTCATGTCTGACTCTCTGAGGCCCCATGGACTGTAGCCTGCCTGGCTCCTCTGTCCATGGAATTTTCCAAGCAAGAATACTAGTGCAGGTTGCCATTTCCTCCTTCAGAGGATCTTCCCAACCCATGGATTGAACCTGTATCTCTTGTGTCTCCTGCATCGACAGGCAGATTCTTTATTGCTGCACCACCTGGAAGGAGACATTTATAGGCAGGGTCTAGCCCCAGAAAAGAAGACAATGTTGGGGTTCAGGAAGATTATCTCTGCATTTCCTCCAGGGACACGAGGAAAGGATTTGGATGGGAAGGCCCATGACATGGGCATGGTTGATACACATCCAGGTCCTTCGCCTGCCCACCCTGTTATTAACCAGTTATGTGACCTTAGGCAAATCTTTGTGTGCCTCAGTCTGACTTTTATAAAACAGGGGTAAAAATACTTGCCTTCTCATCAGGGTAAAAATTAAGATAATAGATAAAATAATGAAAATAATGAAAACACTATTCAAAATTAAATCTATTAGCGTGATAAATACTGCGAACAACAGCAACATTAAGAAGATTCATCGTTGCTGCTTTGAAATCAGTGCAGCCAGAGGCCCAGGGCTGCTGGGAACACAGAAGCCGCGAGGAGCATGGTGAAAGCAGGTGTGCCTGTATCACCACCACCAGCTCTAACTCCGCTGGATGCGATGGAGGGGGCAGCTGCGGCCTCAGCTTCAGGTCTGTGCCGCTTGGAGCGAGGTCAGGGAGAGAGGAGAGGGAAGCAGGAGCAGCCAGAGGGTCGGGGCGCCCCAGGTTGCCCTACCCCTTCACCAGGTCCTGCTCAGCCTGCTGGAGGGGGACCCTCTGCTCAGCCTGCTGGAGGGGGACCCTCCCCAGCGTGCACCCCATAATTACAGTCCTGGCCTGGTCCCCAGCCTACCCTGGGGGTTGGCAGGAAAACTAAGGATAAGAGGGTAAGGCAGGGGTGTGTGTAAATGTTTTAGAGAGGAGGAATCACCCACTCTGTTCCACCTCATCAAATACACACACTTTCTGTCTTTGCTTTCCCCCCTTTGAGATAAAATATCTTTTAAAGGCCTGACCTCACACTTTCTTCTTTCAGCATCCTGTGAACTCCTCTTCCTATTGCAGCTCTCCTGAAGCTGGGACACACCCTGGGAGCCCACCAGCACACAGCCTGGCCTGATGGAGCCCACGACGGATGCCACCCATCCACCCCATAGCTGAGCAGCCAGGGAGACAGGTGACTCCGCCCTCAGAACAAGAGGCCACCATGACCTGGAGCCTTTCCCTCCGTGGTGGCTCATCTCATCACTGGGGTCTCTGGCTCCCAGTCTGTGTCCTCCTGCCTGTCCTGGGCACAGTTCTCCTGGCAAGGCCTTCCTCATCAGTTCAAAAGGCGTCCTGCCCCAGTGACTGAGGCAGCTGGAAGTGGCCGGGCAGTCAAGGCGGAAAGGAGATTCCCGCACTGCCAAAGCTCCTTGGGGACATGGGTGTGACCACAGGGAAGAAAAAGAGAAACGCTGACAGAAAATGCCCACCACGCTGGGTTTCTACTCTTTGTCACAAGGCTGGTCACTCCTGGGTCTGAAAGGATAAGAGCCGTCCAGCTGGCTGGTCTGGACCTGGCCGAAACTTCGACAGAAAATGGGTTTAGGAGACAAGAAAGGCCCTGAAGTGCTGACTCACCAGGTCCACACCTCATGTCATGATTATTCAGCTCCGGAAGCTTCCATGCCCCTGAGTCTTCCATCTCCACCCATGGGCAAGGGCACTGGTTTGGTTACCCTGCCATCTGTTCCACCCCAGGCTCTTCCTGGAGAGTGGGCTCCCCTAATTCCTCTGAGGAGATGCTGCCCCTGACAGGCAGCGGACATGGGGCAGCCCTCAGCTGTCACCTCAGCTGCAGAGGCAGAGCGTCCATTTACCTGTTAGTCTCTAAGAGCTGACCTGGGATCTTCACACCCATCTGACACATGGAGAAATGGAAGTGGAGAAGTGTTCACTGACTTGCTGGGGATTCACTGAGAAACCTGAGGTATGACCCCCCCCAGGTGGGCTGCCTCCTGCTAAGAGCTCTGACCCTTTCTGGAGGCAGTGCGAGTCCATGACCTCAGGGATGAGAGATCTGGCAGGGGAGGGGTGAGGGAAGAAGGGGGTGTTCAGCCTGAGCCCCTGAGCATGTGCCAGCGGCCTCCCCTCTCTGGGTATGGGACCCGCTTGCTCCATACGCCCCAGGGCCCTGCATCAGAACCTGCATCAGGGCATCGCCAAGGCCGAGGGTCCCTCTCAGGGTCAGGCAGCGCACCTCACCCTGCCAAGGCTCGAGGCCACGGGAGCAGAGAGGGCCGTCCCACCTGGAATTTCCTCATGTGAGGGTCCCTGGGCTGGAGGGTCCTCACGGTGTGGCTGGTTCCCAGGGGAGATGTGGAGGACTCCAAGCCGACAGAGCTGACGGGACCACTCATCACAGACATGACTCCCGGAAGCCTCCGCCTCTGCATCCCTGCCTCCGCTCAGAGCACCACCCAGCGGCCGGAGGCAGAAGGCGGGAAGTGGAGTGGCGAGGGGAGGAAGGCGCAGCCTCGCAGACGGACGTGGACCGCTGAGGGCCACTCTCAGGGCCACTCGGACCAGCCCCCCGCAGGGCTGTAGGCGCCCACAGCCCCTGTGACCAGGGGGCTGAGGCCTGGGTGCAGTCAGCCTTGGAGACCATCCCAGGCAGGGGGCGGGGCTTGGCCCTCCCTGCCCCACCCCCAGGGGCTGGCCGGAGAACACAGCCTCTGCCCACTTAGGGCAACAATACAGGTCCTCAGGGACCACCGCTCCTGGACAAACAGCCCTGACCACACCCAGCTGTTTATCGCACAGGCTGTGGAAAGAAAGGCGCCACTGCTCCCCACCTCCACCCGCCGCCTCCCCAGGCAGCGGGCCTGCTCCGGCCACAGGCGTGCGGAACTCAGCCCACCATGGAAACACACCCCAGGGGCCAGAGACGGCTGGACAACAGAGCCATGAGGCGGAGAATCTGGGAGGATCCTGGTGTGGAGAGCTCTCTATTGAACACAAAGAGAGAAAACGCTCTGCTCTCCCACTCACTCCAGGCCCTCTCTGTCCCCCACTCCTTGGCCTTGGGCCCCGGCTCGTTCCATTCCCAGGTCCTCCTTGGCCACCAGTCATCATGGGGGACGGGTGCCTCCACGCTGCCCACTCCCGGGCCTCAGGTCCAGTCCTTGGAGAGCCCTGCCCGGCTCGGCCAGCCCGTGGGCCTCCTGGCCCGGCGCGCCCTGGGCTCTCCTGGCGGCCAGTGTCTGCTCCAGCCCAGCCCCTCCTCACGGCTCCAGCTCCCGGGAGAGGCGGGACAGTTCCCGCTGGTTGTCGATGACCTTCAGCTGCTGGACGTAAGCCCAGGTGCTGGCGGGACTCCGGGTGCTCACGGACTGCTCCGAGCCTGGGGGCGGGGAGGGTGGTCAGCACTTTGTAGAGCCCACCTTTCCCCTTCCAAGGGGCAAATCGACCCTCCTGCCCTATGCCACCAGCCTGCCACTCCCCACAGCCAATCTAGAAGACGCCCCACCCTGCCTCTGGGACAGAACAGCACAGTGGTCAACCGCACAGACTGAAGAAAACAGGCCCCCAAATTATATGCAGCTTAATACCCCTTTTACTAAGTTCAAAAACAATGAAAACTAAAGAATATTTTGTTGTCGTGATATATATATCAGATATTTTAAAGATATATGTATTTTTAAAAATTTTTTTGGTATGTTTTTTCATATGTACACATGATAAAGCTATTTTTTAAAAACAAGAACATGGGTAACTCAAAATTCAGCACAGTGGTTTCCCTGGGTGGGGAGGGGCAAGAGGACAGGAGAGGGCACCACCACTAGGGAGATGGAAGTTATTGTCAGTGTGCTATTATCAGAATAGATACATACATACAGTAAGATAATGATGATGGTGTGGTATGAACTGTGGATTAAGACTAATCCTGTTTCACACAGACTGAAGGCCCATTGAAAGAACACGGGTCTGGAGTAGGAGCATGTGGGTCCCAGCTCTTGTCTAACTGCTTATCTAACCAGCTCTACTCCACGGCGGCTTCCACCTGTTTTTTCAAGGCTCCAGCCCATTGTATACCTTTAAGTGGGGATAACACTCTACCTACTTCATACAGCTGTTGTGAACCATTATCAACATCATGCTTTGCAACCCCGTGGACTGTAGCCCACCCGGCTCCTCTGTCCATGGGATTTTCCAGGCAAGAATACTGGATCTTCCCAATCCAGGGATTGAACCCAGGTCTCCCTCATCGCAGGCAGATGCTCTTCCATCTGAGCCACCCGGGAAGCCCTTTCACGTATGGATGTGCCTGTAAATGCCAGCCAGCCGTGGCCAGCTTGTCAGCACCCACCCCTGCCCTCACTTACACGTGGAAACCCTGACCGCCTGGCTGTCCTCATGCAGGTGGGAGACTCGGCTTCTGAGCGGTGACAGAGGCACTGGGGGTGGTGGGGGGAGTCAGTGAGAGACCAGGTTGGTGCCTTGAAGGGGACATCAGTCAGGGGCGCCCACCGGGGACCTGCCCTCTCACCGTTGCTGTGGCTTCGGCAGTGGTGTAGCATCCGTGCGGCTCTGGCCATCATTCTCTGGGGCCAAGCAAGGACATGAGACCTGATATGAGGGACGGGGCCCTGGCCTGGCCTGGGGGAGAGCTGAAGTGCTCCTAGGCACCAGGGGCTGTAGGAGACGGGGGGCCATGCCTGCTTTGCCCCAGCTCACCCAAAGACCCAGCAGGGACCAGGCACTGGGAAGACAGAAGTCAGGGAGGGCCTAGAGAGGAGCAGGCCTGGTGGGGAGGGGATTCTGGCTGAAGGGCGAGATAGCTGAGGCTGTCACCCTGGCACTCCCTGGTGGAGACCAGATCCTCTGAGGGCATGCAATGGAGTAAGGCAGGGGCTATTTTAAAGGAAGTCTTCATATTTACATTACTGAGAACACCTTTGGACCGTCTCCCACCCCCGCCCCTTCCAAAGCCATCGTCACAGCCTCCAACCTGTTCCAGCCTCAGATACCCGCTCTCCTTGGACTCACCATCTTCTCAAAGTTGATGAGATTCTCCACCAATGTGTGATTTCCCTCGTGGATGAAGGTCATGTCTGCAAAGAGATGGGCCTTGTTCATAGGTCCCCAAACTCCTTCCCCTCCCAGCAGCCAAGGAAAGGTGAGGGGCCAATAACAGGGAGGCGAGGGCCTGCCTCCCCCCGCTGCGTGACCCTCTTCCTCCCTGCTAACCTCCTGGAGTAATTTCTTTATATCACTTAGGCCTCGTGTCATAGGCCATCTAATGTCTGCGTGTCTTAACTCTGCTTCTACCTGGTAAGCTCCTTGTTAACCTTTGTGGCCCCAGGGTGTTGGCACAGTGGAATCATCCAGGGGGTCTGGTGGACACTCTGCGGCAGGGACGGGCGGGATGGGAGCAGGGCGGCAGGGGCTGGTGCCCTTACCTTTGAGAAGAAGGGGCATGAAGGGGATGAGGGGAGGGGAGAGCTTGGTGAGGGCCAGACGGTACACTCGGTGGTTCCACGAGGGGTCCTGAGAGGGAGGAAGCCACAGTGAGAGAGGGAGGGTGGTCCCGCACACTGTGACCTACCACGTGCCACAGCACAACCAAATGCCCACCCGCCAAGGAGAGGCCATGTGCCCACTCCTTGGAGCTCAGCCTCCTCTTGGCCCCAGATCTTCCCAAGGCAGGTTGTGCGGCAGGCAGAGAGACCCGGAGCTGGGATGCCAGGCTGCGTGACGTGGTTTCCTGGCCTCCAGTTAGCCCCCAGGACACGCATGGACATTGTCACAGGGGCTCTGAGGATTCATGGAAAACTCATTTCTGCTCCTATCTCCCTCTGTCCCTCTCTAGTTGGAATACCCGTTTGTACTTCTTCAGCCCTAGGAGGAGAATTTTTTCCCCCAGAGCTCTTGGAGCCTTGCTGATGAAAGCAGCCTGCACGAGCTCTCTCCTGAACACTGTACACCTTTTGCTACCCCCACTACAATTCCTGGGAGTGGAGGGCTCAGCTCCTCAACTCTTGCCTCATTTTTTGGCCTAGGCGCCTTGAGTCTCCTGAGGGCCCTCTGACAGACCCCAGAACACCATGGGAGTTGGGTCAAGACCTGCTTCCTGAGTCCTGAGGCAGGTCAGCAGCCCCCTGGTGGTCCCCTGGCACCTCAGGTCCCAGGGCTAGCAAATGCCGCAGCAAATGCCACACAGGCCCCTATATACCTGCTGAGGCATATAATACACTACACAGACCCCACAGTGCTGAACACCGCATTTCTCAGCCAGCCCCCAGGCTCACAGGCCAAAGGGAACCGGGCCCTGACCCAGCTGGAAGCCCGGACAGTGGCCAAGGACAGGCAGGGGTGCCGTGGGGAAGAAGCGGGGGCTCGGGCCGGGCCGGGGGGCGTGGGGAGCACTCACCAGCAGCCTCTCGAGGGCCGAGTAGAGCTTCCGGACTTTGTGGGGCAGCCGCTGTGAAGGAGAGGCAGGCGGGGCTGTCACTGCTCTGGGGTTGCAGGCCCTATCCCCAGCCAGGACCCCCAGGACAGGCAGGGGCCTGACTCAGCACCGGGGTGCGGAGGCCCTGACCTGCCTGGCAGAAATGGCACTCACCTCCCAGGTATGGGCCAGGCGGCTGATGGCCGAGTTGCTAAGACCAAACATGACGGCAAAGAAGGAATTAAGATTCTTTTGCTCCTTGAGGCTGTGAGCAGAAGACCCAGAGACCCTCAGGGGAGGCGGCCACACACACAGAGCCCCAGACCCACACCACCCCCCAGGCCACAGCACAAGACCCGGCCAGGCCAGTGCTGCCTTTACAGGGCCTGGGGCTGTATGGTATGGGGAGGCAGGGGCCCCCGGGGCCTCAGGCAGGCATGAGGGTGGGCGACTTGGCCGCACCCCGATCATAGATCGGGGGGTTAAGTAAAGGCACCGTGGGACTCTGCCACCCAGCCCGCCCAGCCCAGAGGCACTCACTGGGCCGCCAGTTTGATGAACTTCCTGAGGAGCTGGGCCCGTAGGCCAGGCACGGAGCAGAGACACAGCTCCGTGGCCACCCAGTACTGCAGCTCGTTGAAGCGGCGCATGAAGCGCTCCAGGTTGGCGGTGGTGACGTCCCGCAGGTGCTGGGGGCCCAGCACATAATGGATCAGCTCCACCTGGGCAGGGGGGCAGCACACGAGGTCAGTGCGTGGGGCGGGGCGTCCAGCACACGAGGTCAGTGCATGGGGCGGGGTGTCCCCATCGCCTGCTCTCCTCCCCTCCGCTTTGCCCCAGCACCTGGTGGATGCTGTTGAAGAGGCTCCAGTCGTGGTCTGTGAGCTGGCCCGCCAGGTCCTTGGTGCTCACCAGGTCCAGCCCCTCGGCAGAGCCCACACTGGGCCCCAGCTGCTCGGGGTGAGGGGTCTGCAGGTGGAAGAGTGCTCAGGGGGGTTCCTGGGGAGTCCAGGGGGCATGGTGCAGGGAGAGAGTCTGGGGCCAGAAGTCTGTGCCCAGGGCTGGAGGAATGTCAGGAGGGCAGGGGTGCTGCAGGGAGTGGAGGGGCTCCCCAAGGAGGCATGCCCTGACAGTTCCCCAGTGCTGGGGCCCCTCTCCCAGTTGAGAGGTCCCAACAGTTCTCCCCTTGAGACTTCCTCCATCGGCTGAGGCCCACTCTTCTCTCTTCCTCCTTAGGAACAGCCAGAGCCAGGCCCTGCTCTCCTTTCCATGTGGCCCTGTCCTAGCGCCCACCCGCACTACTCCCAAAACAGCCCTTCCCGGGGCCCTGGCGCCCTGCCTGGTCCTACCAGCTCGTGCACTTCCTGTGGGTTGACAACAAAGAGCCGCTCGTTAAGCCCCAGGGATGTGGCCACACCGCGGGCATCTGGCTGCAGGCCAATGGCATCTGCAAAGAGAGCAGAGGCTGTGCTGGGTGGGGACAGAGAGGGAGGCCAGGGAGCAACCGGAGGCGGGGTGGAGGCTGGAAGAGATCTCCCAATAGCGGCCCTGGAGTCCTAGGCAGGTGTTCTAAATGCACAGGTGCGCATGCCCACACACGTACAGGGGCAGCAGGGCCTGAGGACAATGAGAGAGGAGTCTTAGTGAGACAGGCTGACACTGGGCAACGCTGGAACCTCCCTGAGCCCCAGCTTCCTCCTCTGTCAAACACAGACACCAAGATTTCCCGTGACTACTCATAAGTCAAATGAAGTCATTGATATAAATAGCGGCTACAAGGATATGATACATATACAAGCCCTTTGAAAATTGGGAAATGCCTTATAGAAATCTGTGTGTGGATTTTCTTTTTGTGTGTGTGTGTGGATATTCATCAGCTCTTATGGACTGGGATTGTGTTTTCATTCATGTTTGAGTCCTCAGTCCCTAGAGCAGTAGCCTCCAAAGTAAGGTACACAAGACCATCCATGCATCCAGGAAAAAAATATTAGCACTTACATTGATTTCCCTTACCTGTTTTGCATTTGGTCTGTGTGTTGCTCTATGATCACATAGCAGTAGTGTAGGAGTGTGTGTATGTGACTTGCCAGGAAATATACACAAACAAGGGAGTTTGTAATAAGATACTGACTACTGACATAGTGAGTGAAGTTGCTCAGTCATGTCCGATTCTTTGCAACCCCGTGGACTGTAGCCTGCCAGGCTCCTCCATCCATGGAATTTTCCAGGCAAGAGTACTGCAGTGGGTTGCCATTTCCTTCTCCAGGGGATCTTCCCAACCCAGGGATCGAACCCAGGTCTCCCGCATTGCAGGCAGACGCTTTACCATCTGAACCACCAGGGAAGCCCTGACATAGGTGTCCATCAAAGTAATCAGTGCTTTAAACAGAGCATGGCATGTAGGGTCTCCATTAACACTGGCTTTGGACAACTGCAACTTGCCAAGTGGCCACCAGAGGGCAGTGCTTCCCAGAGGAGCACACAGGCACCGGTGCCCTCATCATCTCGCCTTCCTGGAGAAAGCAGGCTTTGCTGGTCTCCCTGCCACTCCTTGCCATTATTCTCTGCATGACCAGCTGCTTACCCTGGGCTCCAGCTGTCATATCCATGCTGTGTCTTTCATGGATAACAGTGGTTTTTAATGTCCCAAGTTCTCTAGAGGTAGGTCTTAATAATCCTCATGCTGCCATACTCTGAGCACCAACTTTATGCCAGGTCCCATGCTAAGAGCTTCAAACACAGTAGCTCATTTAATAGCCACAGCAGTCCTAGGTGATAGGTCGTTACAGTGCTCATTCAACAGACAAGGAAATGGAAGCTCACAGAGGTCAAACAACTTGGGCAGGATCATATAGACAATACGCAGTGGGTCTGGGATTACAACTCAGGTCTGGGAGTCCACAGTTCAGGCTTTTAACCATCAAGCTGCTCATTTTACCTGCCATGGTACCTCTGCCTCCTAACATGCTGCTGGCCCATAGATGACCCTCAAAGATGTTGATGGACTAAATGAGCAACTACCTAAATTCAAAGTCTGTCTATGTACTCAACGGATGAGCCTGGGAAAAATCACTGAATCCATTTGAGCTTTAGTTTCCTTGTCTGAAAATAGGATAAACGTACCCATCTCATAAGATGGCTATTAGGATTAAATAAATATGTAAGCATGATAATAATGTCAGGCATCCCTGGTGGCTCAGTGGTAAAGAATCCACCTGCCAAGCAGGAGACGCACGTTCGATCCCTGGGTCTGTGCCCATCGCCTGGAGCGGGAAATAGCAACCCATTCCAGTATTTTTGCCTGGTAAATCCCACAGACAGAGGAGCCTGGCAGGCTACAGTCCATGGGGTCGCAAAGAGTCGTACATGACTTAGCAACTAAACAACAAATGATAATAATGAAATAGTAGCTAATATCTATGTACAGCTGTCAAACATTCTAAACACTTTTATAGATTAGCTCATTTAACCCTCACAAGCAGGCACTTTTTCATCCCCATTTTATAGATGATGAAATGGAGCACAGAGAGATTAAGCATCCTGCTGGGGGACAGAGAGAAGAGAGCCAGAGGGCTGGGCTCAAATGCTGGCAGCAGGCTTCAGAGTTCATGCTGTTCAGCACAACATGCAAAGCACATTGAAGAGATGTAATAAGCCTCCCATAAATGCTAACTACCATTAACATTGACAAAGATGGTGATGATCTTAATTCAGTGGGTGGGCAGAGCTCTGAGGGGGCCCCCTCCCTTGGGGCCACCCTACCCAGAGACACAACTCACCACCTGCCGAGTTGACCTTCACCAGCACCTGCCCCTTCGTCCAGCTGTCCTCCTGGGCCAACGCTGCCATCACCTCTCTCACTGAGGCCGTCACAGGCAGCTCCAGGGTTAGCACAGAGTGGTCTGGCCGGCAGATGTCATAGGGGACTGGAGAGGAAGATGGGACTGAATTGTGGGAGGGAGCCGCCTGGTCTCCCCACCCAAGCAGGGAGAAGGCAGTGACTGCAGCGAGGGAGGGTCCCAAGGAGGTGGGTAACGGTACTAAGGAGAAGCCTGGGCAGGCAGGTGGGAGACCCTGAGGTGAGCAAGGGGGGAGCCTGAAACAGAGACCCCCAAGGAGCACAGCATGCCATCCTGGGCCAGGTACCCCGAAGTCAAGGGTGGTGAGAGCAGGGTTCGAGCTCTGCCCCGGCTGACTCGGACCACCAACCTTTGTCCCCAACTCTGATGGCACAGTTGCTGTTGGGGAGAGGCTCGTCCTGGCTGGGGAGCCAAACAGGTACATTCCGGGCCTGAGAAGGAGAGGAAGTAAGGACCAGAGGACACAGGAGAGCCTGCAGGGACGGGGAGGGGCCTGTCACCCGGAGCATGGGTCCCACACAGCACACACGCCACCTAAGGGATCTGCTTGTCCTGCAAACCTGGGACAGGTAAGGCGCTGGGGACATGGGGACTGAGGCTCCCAGGGGAGACAGCAGAGCTCAGAATGAGTCTGTGCCCCTCTATGTGTGTGTCACCCCCTCTGCCAAATGGGCCCTGAGCCTCTCTAATCTAACACAAGGCCGCTGTTGATCCTGGTCTTTTCCTCCTTCAGCTACCATTTGCTGTCTTCTACATGCTTATTTTAAGGATCTAAATATGCATAAAAGCCCTTTGACAAAATATTATTATCCCCATTTTACAGATGAAATCAGTGAGGGCTCAGAGAGGTTAAGTAACATACCCAAAGCAGCACAGCTGCTAAGTGGCCCAGCTGAAATGCTAAACCTGCCCCCACCCCCCGCTCCCCCTCCCCCATGCTCTTGTCCACCAACACTCAACTGTCAGCTGCCCCATAACCCTTCCTCCAAGGCCCCACCACAGTGGGCTCTTGGGGGGCCCCCACTGCCCAAAGGCATCCCTCACACAGCTCCTCTGCCCACCGACTATTCTTTCCAGATTTTGTACTATTTTCCTCCTCCCAACTCTAAAGGCAGCAGATGAGGTTTAGACCTTGGTCCATGGTTCTTCCCTGGATTTCCAAATCTCTGCACTCCCCTCAGAGCTCCTCCCAGCATCGTGTACCAATGACCCCCTCTCCCCGCCCTCAGGATCTGGAAGACTCTTAAAACCATACCACTGGGCATTGAATTATCTTGCAGACCTCGGTCTCGGGATTTTCCATATCTGTGCTCCATCACCCCAAATACTCCTCAGATCCCCTCATCCGGCTTCCCAGGCTACTCTTCTGGCCATTCCCCTGGGTTCAAGGCTCCTGCTCCCCCCTGCTCCCCTCCCCCACAGAGTATCATCTAGTTCCGGGGTCTCTGTGTTCCCCCTTCTGCAGCCCAGGCCATCTCCGGATCCACCAGCCTGTATCGCCTCACGCCTTATCTACTACAACAGCGCAACTATTCTCCGCCAGCCTAGCCTCTCGGGTGCTTCCCTCCCTCCCACTCCCATCTGCCTGACCAGAGCCAGATTAACCTTCCTATCACAGCGTCCAGGCCACCTTGTCTGCTGGATAAAGCTCAGTCTCCCCAGCTGACCTATTCAATATGCAAATCCCATCTTGTCAATCCTGGGCTCAAACACCTCCAATGGCTTGCAGTGGTCAAAGGCCAGGCCCCTTTCAGTGGCCCACAGGGCCCCACCTGCTCTGGCCCCTCCAGGGCTCCCTCAGGAGGTGGGCTCCCTTCCCCACACTTGCCTGCAGCCTCTGCGCCCCCCACCCTCACTCCCTGCACCTCCCAGTTCCAGCGGTCGCTTCTCCCTGACCCCGATCCTTTCCTTTTCAGCCCTTTCCTCCCTGCCTCCAGAGACCCCATCTTTGTTCTTATTCAGCATGAGGTTGCTCTGCAGCTCTGTCCCCCACTTCCCCGTGAGCCCCTCGAGGACAGGGTGGCTCTCCCAATGCTCTACCGCATCCTTGGCATGCCTTAGGTGCCAAGGATGCCGTAGGGGGTTGGGAGAGCCACCCTGGCACCTAAGGCATGCCGCCTGCCCTTCACTGAACATCAGCAGCAAGAGGTCAAGGCCCCTCAGGGATGGATCCAGCATGCCAGTGGGCCGGGAGAGGCACCAGCAGACAATTAGCCAGGAGACAGCTAAACAAAGAAGTTCCACTGGGACAAGGCTTCCAGAAAACCTTTGAGGACACCTTGGAGGGGAGCCAGTGGAGGAGGGGCTCTCACAGGGAGATGGGAGGGGCCGGCAGGTAGGGGCAGGAGGCAAGGAGGGAGGGAGCTTCACCTTCAGCAGAAAAGGACTCAGAGGAGGAAGGGGGCAGGATGAGGTGGGAGAGGCAGCTGGGCCCTGCAGGCCCACATGAGGCATTTGGGTTTGATTCTCACTGCGAGTCTCCACAGGCAGCCCCAACATACCTTCCCAGTCCTCCCCACCCCATTCTTCAAATCTCACTCCAGTCAGGACTCCTCCTCCCACTTTCCTCTCCCAGCCCACTGCTGGGGATGGCACTGCCCCCAGGACCCCCGGGGTTTCAGAGATGCCTCCAGGCACCAGCCCTCACCGGCCAGGCGGGACACTGCTAACTGGCCCAAGCTGTGAGCATGAGTGGGCTTCCCAGGTGGCACTAGTGGTAAAGAACCCGCCTGCCAATGCAGGAGACATAAGAGATGTGGGTTCAATCCCTGGGTGAGAGATCTCCAGGAAGATCCCCTGGAGGAGGACATGGCAACCCATTCCAGTATTCTTGCCTGGAGAATCCCATGGATAGAGAAGCCTGACGGGCTACAGTCCATGGAGTCACAAAAAGTTGGACATGACTAAAGCAACTTGGCTTGAATATGAGCATGACCAGATGGAATAAAACCCCTTGTGGCGGTGGGGGGGACTGACCTTAGACCTCTGTCTCCTGCAAGGCCCAGCCCCAGTGTCACATGCAGCCCGAGCTCCATGATCCCCTAACCCAGACCAAGGATGTGCCTGTGTTTAGGGGGGACCTTCCCATGTAGAGGGGCCTGGAGGTCCTTGGAGGAGGGGGAAATCAGGGGCCCGGCAGAGGCGCGAGGAGCCCACTCGGGACGGACACCTTCATCTGAGGAGACGCGTTCCCACAGCCGTTCTCCAACCTGTGGAGCAAGTGAGAGGGAGGTGAGGCTGGGGGTAGGGTCTCCCAGCAGGCAGGGCGATGCAGGCTCGAGAGCGGAGGGGTGCCCAGGCTCTGGATTCCCCCCACCGTCACCAGAGGCTCAGAGGTTGGCAGACTTGGAGAGGATGACCCAGAACAGGCATGACTTGAAATCCAGCCCCTGGATCCTATGATTTCCCCAGGCCAGCAGGGGAGGGAAGGAGCTCCAGGGAGAAAGGGACCCGGTGTGGTGTCAGCTCAGGGAGGCCACATGTGAGCTCTCCCTGAACTCCAGCTGCCCCCACGGGAGGCCTGGGAGGGCGGGAAGGTCTGGGAGCACAAGGTAAAGGCTGGGAAATTGACTGGGTGGAGCAGGCGGGAGCTGGCACCAAGGGTGCTCAGCAATAGGTAGGAGCCAGTAAGCAGCGCAGCTGTGTGGGGCGGTGGGAGGATGATACACAGATGACCGTGGGCTGCCTGAGCATGGACGGACGCATGACGGCAGGGTGCAGAGCAAGAGACTGGTGAGAACGCTCACTGAGATGAGCAGGACTAGACAAGTGAGCCAGCACAGGGTTTTACAGGCAGCAGCCGAAGCCCTGGGGGTGGGGGTGGGGTTAAGGGCTCAGGGCGGCACAGCTGCAGAGATGCAGCCTAGATTTAAGCCACATGTTCGCCCCCGCCCCCAGCCGGTGCTCCCAGCTCCTGCCACACTGCCCGTCCTGCCCTCCTGTGACAAGCTCACTTGAGCCAAAGCATCACCTGTGGTGTCGCCGCCTCTCTGGCCACTGTTCCCGAAGCAGGTTGCTAAGCCGGGCGTCCCTGCTCACCAGGTCCGACAGTTTCTGGGGGGGAAGCCAAGGTTCACTGAGACCCCCATGTCCATCCTGGGCAAACTGGCCCAGCCCCGCCTGGCTCCCAGGTACCTTGAGGAAGCTGGTGGCCACAGGGTCGGTGCGGAGCGTAGGGCCGTATAGGGTCACCCACTGACTGACCAGCCGCAGGATCTGTTGCCTCTTGTTGCAGACGTAGGAGCTGCGCTCCTGCTCGCTGCCCCCCGCGGGCTCCGCGTGGAAGGTGGGTCCCAGTCAAGGGAACCGCAGTGTCCAACAGGACCACCCACCACCCCCAGAAATGGGCACAGGAGGGCAGGACACCCGGAGCCCGTGAATGGGCTGGGCCTGGAGGGTTCAGTACAGCCGTGCTGCGGGGGCATCCCTCCTGCCCGTCCCACACACCGTCCCCACCCCCAGGGCTGGAAGGATATTGGTGCAGGAGGGCAGCGCAGAGCTGAGCAGTGGGCATGAAGACGCTGTGGGTCAGGAGGAAGTCACTGAGGAATGTCTCTGTGAGGCAGGGACAGGGGACAGGTGAGGGACTCAGCGGTCAAGTCTCCTGACTTCAAGTATATGCATAACCGCGGCATCCTTTTAACCAACCCCACCACGGGCCAGGGAGCAGCAACATCCAGTCCCTGTCACAGCACTCCCCACACAAGCCAAGAACACAGGAATGAAAACTTCCGGCCCGCTGACCAAAGAGACCAATCAAGCACCCGATGAGGTCAGATGCACGGTGCCTGGCCCTCTCCCAGGCGGTGCTGACCGCTCTCTGAGTCAGAAAGCAGGCAGGGTGTCTCCCGCCGCTACCTGTTGGGTCATGAGCGCTGGAGTCAGGCCGCATGGCCTCCAACAGAAGTTCTAGGATCTTCTCTGGGGTGCCAGACATCACCGTATACCTGGCAGAGACAGCCGGTCCATAGCACTTGAGCCCCGACTCCCCCTCCCGCAGCTGGGGCAGACATCAAGAATCAATCCTATCACTCATCCCTAGTTGCCAGCCCTCTGCCCAGCCCCGTGTGGTGGAAGGGGGACTAACTCGGGGGATGCATCTTAATCCCTGGAACCCTCTCCACCCCCTGCGGGCAGGTGTATGACACAGAGAAGGGAGTAAAGCCCGGGAAACAGAAGGAGAGAAGGTGGGCAACAGAGGTGGTATGGAGAGGCGGCACGGCGGGTGTGTTACCGGTTCCTGCCTGGGGTTGGGGGACGAGAAGGGCCAGTGCCCTGAGAGGTTCTCTCCAGCACTAATACCACTTTGCCATGTTCTTCCAGCCTCATGGTCTTTGCTTCCACATCCTGGAGAACAAGCCACACCCGGTGCTCCATACACAACCACAGCTCCTCTCCCCAATCTAGGGCCTCCCTCTGCCTCCCCCATTCCAAACTCTGAGCCCCACAAGGCTCCCACAGCCACCCGTAGCCCTTCTCCCTCCCTAGTCGATGCCCACGACCTTAGATGTGTCCCTCACTGCTGACTATTGCCCAGCCTGAGCCCCTTCTCCAGCCCATCCCTCCCAGCACTCCTTCAGTGGATCCCACTCTCCATCAGGCTGCCTCCCCCTGCACCCTAGACCCCCACCCCTCTGTCTCCTCACCCCTGATCTCCAACTAGAGCCAGGGTTCCCAGGGCTCGCTGAACCTCCTCCGCATGCCACGCACCTCCTCACACACCCAGAGTTGGGCTCCAGCCTCCAGCCACCATCCCCAAGGTTTCCACCTCTGACCTCTCCCTACCCCTTAAAGCCTCTGTCTGGTCCCTCCTCCTTGCCCCTTCTCCTGCCACGTGTCCCTGCTCTCCCCACCCCCAGCAGCGGCACCTTGATGATACGGTTGAAGTCCTGCTTGTCCACGCGAAGGAAATGACAGTTGTCTTCCCCCAGGACGATGGTGGCTGCCCGGGGTGCATCATTCACCAGAGCCAGCTGTCCAAAGTCGTCTCCCTCGTGCAGGGTGGTCACCAGGCCCTACAGCCAGGCCCGAGTTACAGCCCAGCCCCCCAGCCCTCACCGGGACACATCCAGAGCCACCGAAGCAGGAGAGGACCTGAGAGACCGGCAGCCTTGGGGCCATTAAAGGCACTGCCCACGAGGACAAGGACCAGTGACCAGCTCCGCCCCAGGGGCTGGGCACGGGGGGCAGACTCACCTTGCCATGGGTCACCACGTTGACCGAACCCTTCCAGATAATGTACCACGAGGTGCCCTTGTCCCCCTGGCTGAACACTGAAAGAAGCAGCACAGATCAGACATGCCCCAGGCACCCATCGCTTCTTCCCTGTGGCCTCCGCCCACGTCCAGGCAGGACTTACACACAGTTCCTGCCTTGCTGTGAGGTTCAAAGAGCAGGACTGCAGCCAGTTCCCGCTTCACCTGTGGGCAGAGGGGCGAGAGTCAGGGAGGCGAGTCCGGGGACGAGGGGCCCGGGGAGGAGGTCAGGTCCAAAGCCACGCATGCTCAGGGGGACAGAGCTGTGATGAGGTCAGGTGACCTGGGATTCAGCAGGAGACAAAGCAGGGGAAGAAATGGGCAGAGAGAGCCAGAAGGGCCTTCGGACAAGGATGCCATGCCGGGGACAAGACATCAGGCTGAAGTCTCCAGGCCACAGGTGGAAGGGGAGGGGGGTGTCTTCTGGCCTGGCAGGGGTCACAGGACGGGAGGTTTGGGGGAGGGCAAGGTGGGGCGGGGCCAGGGGCTGACCGAGTTGGAGAGGTGGGCCACGGCCTTGATGTGCAGCAGCTCCTCAAAGATGAGGTCCAGCTCCTCGTCTGTGCGCTGACCAGGGCTGCGGGCACAGGGGACCAGGAAGAAATGATGACCTATGAGCCAGGTGCGGGGAGCCACAGCGCCCACTCAGCCTGGGCTGGCCGGGGCTGTTTATCAATAACGGGCCAGCCTTTGATGGAAGCACACCATGCTCCAGACACGGGGCCAAGCACTTTACATATGACTTCATCCCACCCTCACAACAACCCCGTGATGTGGGCTATCGTTATCCTCTGACAGAAGAGGAGGCTGGCCATCAGAGACCCAAGGACACAGAGCTAGTAGCCAATGGAACTGGAATTTGAACCCAGACCTGCCACGATTGTCTTGGCCACGGATGCTTCTCAGAGGGGGCAGGGTCACTGGAGGCCACAGGCCCCACGGCCTCAGTTACAGAGGAAGGACCAGGTTCAGAGGGGGCAGGAGGGCTCGAGATCACACGGCATGTCTGTGGCAGGTGCAGACCAGAACTCAGGCCTTGGGTCCCGCCAGGGTCCTATTCCTCCACGAGAAGTCGGGGCTCGCTCCCCCTCAGGGGGAAACCACGGAGTCTGAGAGCAGGGTTTCGCCCACTTACGGCTTTCGAAGCGCCACCGTGAGCAGGGCATCAGGCCCCCGCTGGGACAACAGGGCCAGAGCCTCCACCAGCTCCTCCTCCAGCTCATGGACGCCCACAGGCTCTGGCTCCGGCCCAGGGAAACGGTAGAACTGGGTGTCTCGGTCCTGGAAGGCCCAGTCGTGTTTCACTGTGGGGCAGAGGCCCAGGCGAGGGGGAGGAGAGGAAATTGAGGCCACAAAGGTATGAGGCTTCCACTCAGATGCCCAGCACAGGCCTGCTCCCCAGGACTGCCTGGCACTGGGCGCCCACCCACCCGGGGCTCAGGCTCACCATGGCAGAGGGCGCCTTCATCCAGGAGCACCTGGCAGATACCCACGGCTTGGCTCCGGGAGTGGACGCCCAGCCCCAGGGCCAGGATCCCATCCACCAGCTCCCGGCCGGAGCAGCACTGCCTAGGAGGGGAAGGGGACAGGGCAGGGAAAGGAGATCAGAGGGCAGGAGGGAGAGAGGGGAGGGAGGGAGGAACTCCATCCGAATGGCACCTTCTAGAGCTAGCAGCAAGGCTGGGTCCAGAGCTTGGACAGAGTGAAAAGGAGAGAAAACTGCTGGGGGTGGCAGGGAGGCGGGCGAGGAGGCAGCCAGGGCCGCCGCTCACCGGTGGAGCCGGAGGTGGTACTTTCTGTCTCTGATGAGGTTGGGGCAGTTGGCCAGGAGGTGTCGATGCAGCTGCCTTCCTGCCCTGAGCACCCGCTCCGTGGAGGCCTGGAGGAGGGAGGCACAGCCAGCTGGCTCAAGCCCTGAGTCCAGGTGTGCGGGCCCCCTCCCAACCCTGCCCCTCTGGATTCGTACCTGCTCCAGGCTCACGCTGAAATCCAGGGACTCCTCACTGCTGGTGAGTGGCGTCTGAGGGCAGTGGGGAGTCTGAATGTTAGTGCCAGGCCTCGAAACCCAGCTCTCGGGCCCCTCCACCACGACTCCCAGCCCCGGCCCAGTTCTTGACTCCAGTCATTCATTGAGCTAACGGTTCAACAAAGACTCACTGGGTACTCCCCCAGAAGCCAGGCATCTGCCTCATTGCTACCCAGGAGCCCTATTACTAGACCCGTGTCTTCCTTCATGACTCCATCAGCACATCCCCAGGGATAAGGTCCCAGCTCTGCCTCCTCAGGGCCCAGTGTGCCCAGGCATCCAGGTAATTCAGCGTGTAGGGGAGGGGCACCGTGGAGCTGGGGGAGCATGGGGACGTGAGATAAGGCCAGGAAGTAAGCAGCTCAAGAGGTCCGGAGGCCCATGGCCTGATGCCGAGCCAGGGTCGGTCCCCAGTCACAGGACTACAGACAAACCTCCTGCCTTCTGTGGGCCTCGATGCAGGCTGGCAGTTAAAGACACAAGCCCTGGAGCCGACTCCTGGGATCCAATCCCTGCTCCTATGTAACCCTGAATATATGATTTAATCTCTCCCTGCCTATAAATCTATAAAACATTCATAATAACAACTCAAGCTTTGGAAAGGATTACGTGAGTTAATAGAGATCAAATGTTTAAAGCACTGACTGGCATATACATATGGTTGTGTGTACACGTTAGTTATTATTACTCATCTGTGAAGCACAGGGTGGGCTGCCTGCTGGAAGGCCCTTTATTCTCCTCGATGCTACTGCTAGTCCCTAACCCTGCAAATGTGAGTCAGACCTGGCAGCATATGGGATGGCTCCGGAAACGGGGTTTATGTAGAATCATTGGTGAACGAGGTTTCCCTGCCCTTGCATCTATCGGGCCATCCAGGACTCGCAGGCCTGTTCGCCCTGGGATGTCGGCCATAAAAGCCTCTCATGCTTCTCTCCTCCTGCCACCTGAGAACTGGAACTTGTGAACACCCCTGAGAAGGATGCCCTACCCTCTAGGAGCCCTCCCAAAGGTAGGCACTGGACAGTTCATACAATATGTCTTTCTTGTGATTTCATCTGACTTCACAGAGAATAGGCTCAGACGGGAAGCAGGCAGAGCAGGAAGGTCAGTCTTCCTTGACTTAATCAAGAAACAAAACTCTAGAGGTGATGTGCCCTGGTAACTCAGACACATAGCCAGACAGCCAGGGATAAACTCAAGCTCCTACCAGAAGTGCTTACATTCTTGGTCACACTCCACCCGGTACACTGCCTGTTTCCTCTCCCTCCCCTTCCTTCTCTCCGCAGCCTCCCCATCAGCACTCAGGGCCAGAAGAGGACCTGGTCTGGGGCCAGAGGCCTCTCCCCGGACCCAGCATCTTCCCACTGTGTGCCGGGCAGAGGCCTGAGGTCCGACATGGCAGGCACCTGGCCCAACGCCGGGCGGAAGTCACTAGGTGTCCCAAAGGTATCCTTACCCCAGTCCTGGGGCCCATCCTAGTGCCAGACATGGCCCTGGAGACTCGGCGATAGGACAGAAAAAGAGGAGGAGCCAAGGAGGGAGGAAGGGCAGGAATGCTACCCGGCCAGCCTCCTGAGCTGGAACAAACAGTGCCAAGAGCTAATGACTTGTTGTTGCTCATGTCAGAGTACCCAGGTGGCCCCAGTCCCCCCAGCGCCCCTCGGTGCCCAGGACCCAGGCTCCAGCACACACTCCCTTCCTGGTATTATTCTGACCCTGAAGGGCACATCAGGAGGGGAGGTGCCCGGTCACATGGCCAGGCTGGTCAAGACTCAGATCTCAGATCCGCAGGCCTCGCTTCAACCATTTCCTGTCCTGCCCCAGGGGACGACGCGCAGGAGGCTCAGAGCTGGAACGCTGGCCCATCAGAGCTGAGGAAGAGACCTGAAGACATCCCTCTTATTTTCCCAAAAAAAGCAGCAGGAGCGCAGAGAGATGAAGTAACTTGCCCAGAGTCACACAACTGCTTAGAAATGTAAGATCCTACTGGAATAATTGTTATCAACGCTGAACCAGAAGTAGGTGTTTGTCTCCTGTTTCCTGGCTAGAGAAAAGGAGGCACAGAGGTTATGTAACCTGCCCTTTTCAAGCTGGTAAATAGGGGCACTAGAATTCACCCTGTGCCCATCTGATTCCAAAGCCCATGATCTTAGCCACTAAGCCCTACCATCTCCCATAGAGCCTCCATGGTGCTGGGCCTCCCCCACTGTGTGCTATGGACTCAGAGGTGGTAAATTCTGTCCTCAGGAACGTTCCACGGGCAGGGAGTTTGAAAAATTCTGGGTTAGACGAAGTTCCACATGTGTGTCATCACAGTCCCTCTGAACCCTTGCCATGGGGTCCATGTCCATGGTCCCCTGTGCATGGGGACCTCCTGGGATCAGGGTGGGGGTCCTATTTAGGGACTGCGGTCAGGTGTGTGGGCTCTGGAGTCAAGCACCTGGGTTCAAATCTTGGTTCCCCACTACCAGCTTATTGTGTGACGCTGGGCTGCTTATAAAGCTCTCTGTGCTTCAGCTTCCTCATCTATAACATGGGGTTGGTGGCAATAGTACCTATTCCATAGGCTAATTTTGAGGATCAAATGAGTTAATTAATAATATGGAGCATTCAAAGCCATGCTTGCTTTGCAGTAACTACTTACTCAACGGTAACTTAATATAACTCTTCTTTCATGATGGGCAGCTATCGCTTGGACACAGTGCAAGAAATGCTCTACTTTGACTGATGCTGTACCTGATCTGATGCCCCCGAGTGTCAGCTAGAAAGCAGTGGCTGGTGGGGGTAGGGGGGGAGGCCCTCACCCACCACCTCCTATCAGGTTTGGACAGGAAGGGCTCAGGGTGGAAGAAGAGCTCCTAGTTAGTTTCCCTGCACAGCGTCATGGCCTGCCCCACCCCCTCCCTGTCACCGAGTGTCAGAGTCACACTGGAGGGGCAGGCACGGAGCCAGACAGCCACAAGGGGACCCGTCAGACCAGTTCCCTCAGGCCACGGCTAGGGTCTCGGGCCAGGGCTGTGTGCGATGGGACTGGGAAAGGATGCATGAGGCAGGTGAGGTTCTGGAGTGTCAATGGTACCTTCTGTAGCAAGAGAAAATGCACCACACACTTGAACTCTGCAGCCAGATTGTCTCGGACCCAAGCCCAGTTTGCCCCTCAGCAGCTGTGTAACCCTAGACTGTCACTTAGCCTCTCTGGGCTTCTGCTTTTGCATCTATAAAATGAAATGAAAAAAAAAAAAATGAAATGACAGCATGAGTAGCTATCTCTCGGGGCTTCTGTGAGATTATTTGATGTGATTAAAGCTCATAATAGCACTTCGGATATAAATACTACACAAACACTAGCTACTTCCATCATTTGGACAGGTCGAATGAAAGCATGTTTTATGAGTTAGAGAATAGAGCCACCGCTCCCAAAACAATCACTCAAAGAGTAGCATCTCAGGGTTCTCTAAGCTCAGGGGACCCACCAGAGGTCATCCTGACCTTGCCCCTGCCTCTAGACAGATTGGTTTCTGTGTTGGCTCCCAGACATCAGATAAGATCTCATGTACCCCTAATGTTTATCAAAGGAGAAGTTCTTCCACCCTATTCCAGCATCAGCTTTGCCATGGTTGTTAAGTCCTTCCTGTGTCAAACCTCAGGGTCTCCTGCTGTAACCTGCTTTAATTCTCTCTTGTTCTGGTCTAATGGGAACAGAAAGTGCTCTCTTCAGACCTCAGGAGGTTGATGGATTTCCCTCTCAGTTTTCTAAAGGTGGCCACGGCCTGGGTAACTCCTAGCACTGTCCTCCTGGGACTCTGGGCTCCACCTCCTTACAACATCCACCCATCGCCCTGTGTATGCACTCCCTGCCGGACACTTGTTCCCACACACGAGCCCCCTCAGCCAAAGGCATCATCCCAGAGGTGAGAATTAACAGCTTCACAGGGACCCAGAGTCTCTTAAACACAGACACAATGAGCTGAAACCACCTCACCCCTATTCCCCAGAGACGGTCCTCAGGAGAGGAGGTGGCCCCTTCCTCGAGCCTTAAAAATCTAAGTTCCCTCTAATCATCAATTCGTGCACACACACCTGGTGGGGGAGGGGCCTCGTTTCTGTGTCTCTGACCCCATCTCTCACTCCACTGATCCTCACCCCCACCTTTCTGGCCTCCCCACGCATACCAGCCCTTCAATTCTGGGACTGAGGGAGTGAGGAGACAGCCTAGCAGCCTCCTTCACTCTCTCCCTTACTTTGGGTCCCAGGGGATCCTCCAGTGACCTCATTGTTCTGGCCCCTGACCTTCCCCCGACTCCCCACCTAGCCTCTACAAGCCAGGCAAGGGACAGGAAATGCATAAGTAATTATAGCCTGAGAGGGAAGGAGGGAGGGAGGGTTCCAGCCCACTGGCTCCAAGCAGTAGCTACTGCCAGTGACCTGGGGTGGGGGTGGGGGGCAAACAGCTAAGCCCAGAAAGACCCTGGCTCCCCTGCGCCTCCAGAGTGCCATCTGGAGCAGGACCCAGGCCCATGAGGCCCCTTCTCAGGAGGACGCAGGGAGGGAGGGGATGGAGGACAGCTGGGGACTGACACCTAGATTCTCCTCTCACTTCCCATTGTAAGGGGGACCCCATTATCTTGGTGGGCCTTGGTTTTCTCAACTCAGCTTCATATTTTGGTACATTTGGTAAATATAATGGCAATATTTGGTAAATACATAAATGGGTGAGGTAGGAAGAAGGAGGCAGAAGGTGGTGGTCATTCTACTCAAAAAAGAATTTGCTCCTAAGAGAGGGGTTCTCCCAACTCTATCACCTAATCCAACTCCACCCCTTTGCCCGGGTACCCTCCCCACAGCCACCTGCACACACGTCACAAACACACACCAGAACTCAGGTGAAGAAACTCTATTAAGTCTGGGTGACTGGGGAGAGCTTCTCTGCTGTTTTGGATCCTGCAACCATATCCTGCCCACCATCTCCCCCCCCCCCACCCAACACACACTTCTCTTTCCTTCATTCTTGCAGCTCCAGAGATGTTCTTCACTGGCAAAGGGAGCTCCGTTCATCTCAGAGTCTCCAAACTTCTCAGAATTCTCCCCGGAGCCCCTCCAAGCCGATGCCAAGCAACGTTCACATGACCACTTCACCCCAGATCAAGACGCAGACTCCACGCAGTTCAGTCTCACTAAATGAGAATGCTGCCACGGTGATGTTTAAAGAATAGTACCAAGCTTACCTCCCCAGCACTTGACCTGACCCCTGTATTTCATACATGTCTTCCACCCCCACCTGAAGAACACACGAGCGCCTAATTCAAGCCACACGGAAGTGACAAGTTCTTTTCCCCTTCGCCACACGCCTGAATAGGGGGACTTGGGCACCACACACATACACAACACAGTTGTGTAAGCAACCCACACACTGCAGCCAGACTACCTGACCGGCGGTCCACACCAGGTGTATCCCCCAGGCCTGCAGAGCAAGCTGGACCACCAGCAGTATGCTCGCCCTCCCAGTCCGGCCCCCTCCAGCCCAGAGGGGCCTGGCCCTGGCCGGGGAAGGGGATGGGACTCACCCAGCGCAGCCCCTGGATGCAGCTGGGGCGCTGGTGTTCGAGCAGCAGCTGGTAGGAGCAGCTTCGGGACCGGTACATCCTCCTGAGCACCATGTTGAGCAGCGTCCCCTCCGGCACCACGTCCGGGAGGCCTCCCAACGGCGGTGCTCCCAGAATCGAGTTGCCCTCCACAGCCAGGCCCACCTGCCAGCGGCTCTCACCTGGCCAGCCCACCTGTGATGGGAAGAGGAAGGCAGCCTGCCATGAGGCTGGGTCCTGGGCAGCTGGACCAAAGCACGGCCCGGCCGCCCCAGGCAGAAGCACTTCCTTCGAATCCTCTGGACTGGTCAGGCGGAGGTGCTGCGCCCCTGCCAGGAGCCGGGGGAGGGACAGGAAGACCTTCACTGGGGCCTGCCGGTCTGGCGCGCTTAGGGGTCTCCAGCCGGCGGCGTACCAGAGATCAGGCCCTTCTTTGGAATTCTGCCCCACCCCACCGATCATGGACCTGCAGGGATCTCCACCAACTCCCAGTATGGAGCTCCGGACTCACTGGATCCCCGAGAAACGCAGCTTCAGCTCAAACCCTTCTTTTCTCCTCCTTCCTCACCGTGGACCAAGCCTCTGTCTCCCACCCCAACTCCCCCACCGTGTCAGCTTCCTCCCTGCTCCTCCTCCCCCGCCCCCACCCCACCTTACCCACCTTCATGTTCCTCCTTCAAGCTCGCACAGCCGTGCAGGCCCTAGCAGAAGGCAGGGGGCGGCGGGAGCACCCGCCCGCCCCACAACGAGCCACTGTGTGCCCCCGGCCTGGAAGTCCCCGGCGAAGTGAGCAGACCAATGCGTAGCTGAAGCCGCTTCCAAGGCAGCCCCGGCCAGGCTGGGTGGAAAGGCTCGTCTCGGGTTGGGGGAGAACTGGGGGCTTGGTGGGGGGACAACGTCACCCCCGCCCCCCGCGACAAGGAACCCCGAGCCTCCCCTCCGTCCCAAACGAAAGAGCCAGCTGGCACCGGGCGCTGAAGCGAGGCTGCAGCTGGCACTGATCCGGGCGGGAGCTGTCACACCCCCTGCGCGGCCCGCCCCCTTCCCTCCCGGGCCGACCGGAGGGGGCAGGGAGGACGCGCCGGGCGCTCGGGCAGGAAAGGGGGCGGGCTCCAGCAGGGGGCGGAGTCGGAGCCCCGGGTACCCGGAGCTGGCGGGAACCTTGGCCTCGAGAAACCCCGGGGGCCGGAGCGCCCCGGGAGTGTGTGCCCGGCGGCGGCGGCGGGACTGGAGGGGTAGGGGCTGCGGGGCAGGGCCGCCATGCGGCCGGGAAGAGAAACGCAAACAAGGAAACGGGGGGAAGGGGGAAGGGGGTGAGTCACTGCGGCCCCACCCGGGAGGGAAATCCGGGCTGGGGCCGCTTCCCGGCCGGGGGTGCCCTGCCTCCTATTTCGGTTCAGGGTCTCGAACAGGCTGGGGGAGGGACTAGGCCATTTTCCCGGAGGGAATCCCGCTGCCCAGCCTCCCACCGCAGCGCTCCTAGGCACGCACCCCATCCGCCGCCTTCTCCCCGCCCTACACACGCACGCACACCCCCGGCATGGGTGGGGAAGTTAAGGCTGGAATGGAAGGACGGCGCCCGCGGACTGTGGGGACTGGAGTCGGGGCCGAGCTCCGGGAGGAGGGGGATGTTAGAAGGCCTCGCCCCCCCGCGGTTCCGGAGTCCCAGGCCGGCTGTGTGTGGAGAGCCATCGCCTCCCTGGGCCTCAGTTCCCGCCGCCGCGCCAGTGGCCCAGCGCCCTCTCTTCGCCTTTCTCCTGCTTCTGAGGCGGCGGAGAGATAGTGGCTCCCGGTCAGCTATTCCCCCGGCGCCAGCGGCGTAACTGGTCCCATTCTTCACTGAGGGTTTTGGAAGGAGTCGCGCGCCCCGCCCCCGGCTTTCTAGAACGCACCCTCTTTTTGCCCCATCAGTGTCCCTTCCCTCTGCAGCTGAGCCTGCCTGGACAGAGGAAGACACATCTCTAACATACCATGCCCCCTGCTCTTCCACCGATGATTATTCTCTTGGGGGTGTGGGTGTGGATTTTCATTGTGATTAAAACCTCAATTTCAAGTGTCTTTATAAGTCTTCCCAGGAGCTCATCAAATGTAAGTTCCAGTCCCTTAAATTCAGATTCAGTCTTACTGGCATGAAATGGAAAATCTGTGTTTTGAACAAATACCCTAAGGTTGTCTGCTGGGAATGTTCTCACTTTGAGAAATGTTGGTGGAGTTTTAAATGCTCCCTCAGGGAAGATGAGGTTAGGTATGCGTCCTCAGTTGACTTTAGCCCACCAGGCTCCTCTGTCCATGGGATTTTCCAGACAAGAACACTGGAGGGGGTTGCCATTTCCTTCTCCAGGGGACCTTCCCAGCCCAGGATGAAAGATGAGTCTCCTGCATTAGCAGACAGATTCTTTACTACTGAGCCACCTGGGAGAGGAGCCTAAAGATGATTCTAGCCCCAAGCCCAAACCCAGCCACCCAGGTTCAGGGAATTTTAAAGTAGGAAGAACAGTTTGAAGGGATTAACAGGCAGAGGTCACATGGGGAAGAGAGTTGAGAGGGAGTGGGGCTAGGGAGTGAGTTGAAATTTCAGGTTGCTTGTGCCACTGATCTGTCTAGAAGTTGCTGCAGGGGAGTTTCCAGAGATTGCAGTCATAAACGGGTCTCTGATTTCCTATTCATACTGCCACTACTTTAGGCAGGTGGAAAAGGAGCCAGTGAGTGAGGCAGGACACTTGCGTCCCTCACAGCAGACCACAAAAGCCTGTAAGTGCCTGGCACTGTTCCAGGTGTTCACAGGTATTTTTCTCTCTGCCATCAGCCTATGAATTAGTACTGCTATCATTCCCACCTAAGATGGTGAAGATGAGGCTCAGAGGTATTAAGTAACTTGCCAAGGTCACACAGCTATTCAGTGATAGAACTGGGGCTTGAACCTGGGTTGCCTGGCTGCACTTAACCCCCAGGCTATGCTGGGCTGTGTGTACATCAGATTCATTTTCTGATCTGGCCTACATGCCTAAGAGAGGGGGGTACAGAAACAGAAATTGAGTATGGTGGGGGGTAAGGTGCCAGGATCCAAAGACAGTCATCAAATGGGACCTTCCAACTTGTTTATCTCTGAAGAGCAGGGCACCCCACCTCCCGCCAAGGCAAATGATTGAGCAGGTGTTGTCTTCTCAGGATTCCTGGCTGGGACTGGCCGGTGCAATGAATGCTCAGTAGATTTTTGATAGAGGCTGAGGCCTGGAGGGGGCAGGGGTCTAAAGGAGTGTGTCTGAGGAAGACACTTTAAACTAGATGGTGAGTCATCATGGGGACAATCGTGCCATGCCCCGGTACAACCTCCACCCTCCCCTATCTTTACATGCCTGAAAGGTGTGTTAGGACAGATAAATAATCACAATAGTTAGCATGCACCAGGCTCTGTTCTTGACACTTGTTATACATTCACAGATTTAATCATCACAACAATCCTATCAGATAGGTACTATTGTTATCCCATTTTGCAGATGAGGAGATGGAGACATGGAACGGTTAACTGACATGCCCAAAGTCCCACAGCTAAGATGGGGAGCACTGAGTGATTCTCCCCAAGCACTTACAAATCTGGGCACTTTATTTACCACTCTGCAGTCCTGCCTCTCCAATACTGACAACTCCCGCAAAGGCAAAACCCACATCCAGAGTCCTTTCCCCCACACCTGGGCGCACAGGCTCCAGAGGTGGGGAGTGGGACGACAGACGGATGATGGAGGCTGAGCAACCGGGCCCCTTGACACCGTCCACCTCCACACTGAGCTCTCTGCCGGGACACGAGCCTCCTGGAACCCTGCCTCCCTGTTTTCAGACTGGCAACAGAGGAAGGCAGAGGCTCCCAGGGAGTAGTCCAGGAAGGTTGATGGGTAAGGAGGGCTTTTTGGCCCGCTGTGGCTCGGGGCTGTAGTCCTCACCCAGGCCTCTCTGCTGAGCTCTACACTGGTGGAGCCCAGGGCCTCTTGGATCTTCACACTACATGAGTAGAAAACTTCCCACCCTAGCTACCCCTCTTCCCACCCTGCCTCTCTCAGCTCCCTGCTCCAGGACCCCCACCACTGCCTAAGCAAGGCACCTCATACCTCAGTCCTTCCTTTTCCCACATCCAGTCAGCCTCCAATTTGGGCTGATTCAACCAGTGGATAAGCTTTTGCATCCATCCATTATGCCCCAGTTCAGTTCAGTTCAGTCACTCAGTCATATCCAACTCTTTGCAACCCCATGGACTGCAGCATGCCAGGCTTCCCTGTCCATCACCAATTCCCGGAGCTTACTCAAACTCATGTCCATAGAGTTGGTGATGCCCCATCCCCTCTGAAACTGCTCTAGCCCAATGATGGTCTCTTCCAGCACTCCCTCTATGCAGGGTAATCTGCTTACTACTTTAGAGACATCACCTTTTAATCCTCAGAACAATCACTATTTACAAGTGAAGACCCTGAGGAACAGAGAGGTGAAGTAATGTAGCCAAGGTCACGTAGCTAGTAAGTAGTAATGCCAGACTCAAGCAGTCTGACCGCAGAGCCCACACTCAGTCACAGTTTGGTAGTGCCTCCCTGATCACTGATGCTGAAGCTGAAGCTCCAACACTTTGGTCACCTGATGTGAAGCGCTGACTCATCAGAAAAGACCCTGATGCTGGGAAAGATTGAGGGCAGGAGGAGAAGGGGTGACAGAGGATGAAATGGTTGGATGGCATCACCAGCTCAATGGACCTGAATTTGAGCAAACTCTGAGAGATAATGAAGGACAAGGGAAGACTGGCGTGCTGCAGTCCACAGGGTCGCAAAGAGTCAGACACGACTGAGCAACTGAGCAACCCTGATCACTACTGTCAGCCTTGCCTTCCTCAGCCGTTCCTATGCAATGCCACAAGAATCTTTAATTTCTTCAGCAGCATTTATTGTAAGTGTCAGGAACTCTGCCGTAAACTGAGGATCTAAAACCAGGCAGATCCTGGGCTCCAGGGCCATGGAACCTAGTGGAATTTTCTGGTAACTCCCTAACACACTAATCTGGTCCGGCCTCTACCCAGCACAGTGTCTGGCATATAGTGGGTGCTTAATGATCCCCGGGGGAAATGAGATGAAATCTGTGGGGGAGTCAGCCAGGGCCAGCCGTGGGCGTGTACCCAGGGCAGGGCGGAAGGGAGAGCAGCTGCTCTTCCAGTTCAT